AACTAATTTTCATTTGTAACTTCTAATATTGATTTGAATTAGAACTGCATCTGGAGATGAACCTCGAAATTCATAATATGTGACCTTATGCTATAATTCTTTTATTAAAATCTCACGGATAAAATGAGACTTTTGTAGAATTGGGCAGAACACGCCTCTCTCTACTCTAGTAATAAAACGGTATTTTGACCGCTGGATTTTGTTGACTACATATTATTTTATTTATTCATCACACTCCGTTAAAATCTTTTCGTAAATCTCTCAATAAAAGTCCGATCTCTTCATATCAATAAAAGTACCTGGTTTGTTTTTAGGAATAATTTGATGTTTATTTTACCACAATCGTATTAAATGTATTAATATATATGTATACAAATATAATCTTAACAAACATACCGTCGATAAATTGACCCATAATCGCTATTTCACATGTGTGAACTAAATAGGCGTTAAATTAGGCCAAACAATTAAAGCACAAAACCTTTCATACAATAACGATTTTATTTTTATGAGAGCACATTCACTTAAATTAAGTAATACATTTCATTTAACATAAAACAGTTATACAAAAAGCTGCCCTGATGACACTGGTCTAAAATTCCTCCTTCAAGCTACAACCCTGCTGGCTCAAAGTTCAAATGCTAACACATAGTATACGCTTATATACACGATCAACTAAAGTTGCCGTCTTAGTCACTGCAATAGTTGAAAATGCAAATCTTTTATTATTTAGTATATCTTTTATCAATGATCTGAGCCTTGGCAATAGCCGTTCAATTCTGCAGTAATCTATCAATTAGACAATTTGAATGTATCAGAGCCGAATTTTGTCTTGAAAATTGTCCCTCAATACTTCCTCTTTGTTGAGCCCATCTAGTTTTCTGACACGCTTGAATTAAAGTGATCCAAGCGTTACAATTAGCAGTGTTAAACGAACGCCTGTTTTGCGGGTAATTTTATACAGTACCGGTATTCTGAGCCTCGGTATTGCTTGCAATAATGTTCATATATTTAACCTATTACAAAATATGAAGGTTATTGAGTGTTGAACCAAGAATCGTCTGCACTATCGCCATCTATGTGGGCCCAGTCTTCAGCATGTACAGTCAGTTTTATACTGCCATTGAATACATTTAAAACCCCTTGTCATTTATTAACAGAGAGACAACACCCGCTCATGTTACTAAAAGTGTGTACGAGTAGGACGATTGTCTGGGACTGTGTTTGCTCTATTTAATCTTAAGAATGTCGAAAGAGTAAACAGTCGAAGCAATTAAAACATACCGAATTTGTTGTCCACTATTACAGAACGTTTAAGTCAATATGTTTTTTTAGTGCTAGCAAGAAAATGATGATATAGCTTTCTTGGTAATCAGAAAGCCAAATAATTTCTTAATTTTTATTTGAGTCATCTTTATTATACACGACCAAGTGCAATCACCAATAAAATCTAAATTTTAATAATAAGCGGTTATTTGTTACAAAATTTCCAGAACCTCCAATGTAACATAATCATATATATTTTCAGGAACTCCAAATAATTTTTTTGTATAATGTAGAATGTAGCTAGTTTATTTTAGTGCATTTTTAATAAGGGTTATATATTTGGTTTATATTCGACCCAAGCTTGTGTCAAGAATATTCGTCCTATTTAATAACTTATTTGTTTATATTTACCAACTGATAGGCCTCATGTTGATTGGAACGTCACAACTTTAAACACGGATTGTTATCGCACCAAGCATGAATGATAATATGCATCGAAATAGTAATGATAAAACTATAAGAAGTCTGAACAATATAATTATCTCGAATAGTGAATTTTTTGTTTCCACGACCTACTGATTCTGTTTGTGGTAAACTTTACATATATTTGATTCTAGTTGATTACTCTAATTAGATTAGTCGTACGATACTTTCTTCAGGTGTAAATATAGTTGTGTGTTAAATCCTAAAACCTGTCTAGACTTTAATTTTGAATCATTATCATATATCTCAAATATTGTATCAAATCACATGACTAGGGTTTCTTTTTATTATAGTAATAGTGGTTCTATGAATTATATACCAAGATTTCCTAATTATATTTCACTGTACAGGGTTCTTTTTTTTTTGTCTTTAGCGGAGTTTCTAGCATGTGCTTGTTAGAATTTATAAATGTACAGACAATGCAAATATCAGATATCCTTGTACCAAATTGATTTGATTTACATACCACAAAATTCTTCACAAATCGCATGCGATTAGCTTAGCTCCAGGGGTAAAACGCGCAATCAAATCTGATTTTTATACGTTTGGCTACGCGGCAGAAGTATGTGTACCAATATGAAGGTAACTAATTTGCTTGGCCTACTGTACATCAAGCTGTGTAAAGGGACTGAAACCTGTGGGCAGGGAGTATATTCACTTGGCTAACACTGACAGTCCAGGATTCGTAATAAAACTAAAATAAAGAATATTGGAATAAAACTACGGCTAACTTCAACCTGATACACATACTACGGAAGTATCGGATTATTCTATTCCAATCTATTCAATTCTCCATTATCTAAAAGATCCGGCATATGTGATAGCTCTGGGCGTACTTTACCTATTCCTTTTGTTGCCATTAGTACTATATTACTAGTAAGACCATAATATATTCTAATCCGACGACAATTTTTCTCTTCATTTCAATCTCATCATATTACTTACTGTTCCGTCATTATCAAAATTGTTCATTGCCTTGCTTTTGGCATTTTTAAAACATTTATTATTCCGTTTTTTTTGCAGTTTCACAATTGTTTGACATTCTTTCAGGCAAAACTTGTTGTACTCCTGTAGTATGTGAACCAAGATGGCGGCATCGGAGCGTAGTATGTGTACAAGGTTAGGGTTTGCCATAATTTCATTCCAAATTTCTTTATTTCACGAGTTCGGGACTAACCAAGTGACTCCCGTAATATTTGTACCTAAAATTATGTCCTAGCCCTAACCTGGTACACATACTACGTTCCGTTGTCCGCCACGCCATCTTGGTTCGCATACTTCGGGAGCACCAAACTTGTAAACCGCCGAAAGCCACCATATAATACCTAGTACTATACCATTTACAACTAGCATGTGTGTTCCATGACTAAAACTGTTTCTAGCTGGAGGTCGAGAGGCTCAAAGCATTGTCATTACCCAAGATTAAAAGTAACAAAATATGTACACCCCGAATAAGATCTCATGGAATGGACTGTATTAATTTGAATTATTTTATTCTTATTTAGTCTAAGATCCCAAAAAATTCTGTTATTATTCACGAAGCGCAAAAAGGTAAGTAAAGGAATCATTTTGCAACGAATACTTTAGTGTTAAATATGCCTATAGTACTGATTTCTATACAATTTATTTCCTTAGTTTGAAATTTTGTCGTCAATCGTGTCGCCCAAACAGAGAGATTTAGTTTTATCACGCGTCGAGATAGCACGATTTGCTAATTATAATTTTGATTGTTTACAAGGTAATGCAGCCATCTTGCAGTTACCACATCACACATTATTCACATAATAAATACATTGATTGTAAATCTCACAAAAAAGGGTGCTCACGTAGTTTGTGTACTAGGTCAGGGTTAGGACATAATTTTATTTAGATTTTATTTATTTTCGTTCTTTTACGAGTTCGGAGACTAGCCAAGTGAATATGCCCCCTGTTCATAGGTTTCAGTCTCTTTACACAAAATTAGGTACCTCCATATTGGTACACATACTTCTGGAGTACCCAAAAAAGCATTTCCACGATTATTAACTCTATAATTAGGTATATGTAATGGAAATTAGAATTAATAAGGTTAATTCTTTCCAAAGGCTTGATGTACGTCGATTCGATTTTTAGAAGTAATCAACTAGTCCTTTTGAAAAGATTATCACATGAATAAAATATAAGAATTGAGTAGAAAATTTACATACATGACCATTCTATGAACTTGTTTATACTATTTTATTAATAAATTTCAGAGTGAGATACTTTATGATTGTTAAGAAATTTGCGCCAAAAACTCGAATAATACAATCACGCTCCCCTTTTTGGAAAAATGCACTCGTGTAACACAAGTGAAGAAAACGTTGTTCAGACAAGTCACTTGTTTCGGCCAATACACATCTGGGTAACAAGCGAGAAAATATTCGAATTATATCGGGAAATGAATATTGAAGCGGTTGAAAAAAATAATGATAAAAAGAAGTCTATTAATGAAGGCCTGAATAAGAAAGACTCAATAAAGTATCTGATCACAGATTAAATTAAGGCAGCATCACGAATAAAAAAATATTCATTGCAATCTATAAGAATATTTGACAATTTTCTAACACAGACGTTCTCTAATCTCAGCATTTCTTTAATTACCTGCATGGCAGAGTCAAGGGAATTACAACTTCAGGTATTAAAATTAAAAAAGGGGAGAATCTTTCCCGAATTTCAACAATTTGATTCAATTTATTCAATATTTTATATATTTTAAGTAGGTCGGAAAACTGCCAAATGTATTTATCAATACATAATAATAGTTAAACCTATATTTTCAAGTACAAGATTTTTAAGTTAGTGGAAGGACCATAATTTTTTCGGTAAGATATTAAAATTAATTTATATAAATAGGTTAAAATGAACAAATTTTGTCACACGTCATGCAAATAATAATATTTCTTTCAGCTATAGGAATTTATGGACGATTTAATAGGAAATTTTGCAGAAAAATTTTATTCATATTAATAAAGTATAATGTTGAGATAACGATTTGATCAAGTTCAATAATCCAAGAGTTAAAATCATAAAGTTAGTTTAGTAAAGTTTATATTTTAAAAAAATTTTGTACATAAAAGTGGCTAATAATATATATATAGAGTTTATATCTATGCTATTCTCGTTGAATAAAATTAATTTGAATTTATATCTTCATTATTGATTACAGATTATCTCTGAATATCATTTTAGTCTGCAATCCCGAAACGATCTGCTGAATTAACATTTTAAAACTACAATTGTGTTTGTTTTATTTCTTCTGTTTTTGTCACATCTTGATCTATTTTGGTTTTTCTGTCTTTATCATTGCCATCTTCTGAAACCTGGAAAGAATGAAATAAAAGCTTTAAGTGAGAGACAGTACTGAGTGCTTTTATGATTTTCTAAATAAATTTATGTATGTTTAATACCAAAACCGACATTATTTAACAAATATAAAATTGAAATCCCGTTAAAATCTAATAAATTCTACCAATATTGTAGTTTAACTTTTATTTATCGACTTCTGTTTCTAATTTGTAGAGGATTTATGTTTTTTTTTTTATCTAAAGTCTACAACCGTAATTTATAATCATAAGTTGCAACAAAATCGTTGAAGAAACCAAATTAAATTGCTGTATTTTTTGTGAATTATAGCTAATACGATAACAACCTCATATTAAATAACCTGATAATTATAAATCTATCATAACCGTGAAATGAATTAATAAACAAACCAACTAATGATTGTATATCTCACATTCTTTTGTTTTAAATAAATAGTCGACACTTACAAACTTTTTGTCAAATTGCTTAATTTTTATTTAACAGATTACGCTGAAAGGTGTAGTTAATGGTATTTCTATACAAAGCCCAAACAGATAATACCGATTCTATGACATTTCATTGTTTCTGTGTTACTTTTAAAGTTTTATAGTGTGAACAGATGTACAGAGGACAGAGTCAAAATATGATAGGAGCATATTCCTATCAAAATATTTTTCATTTCTGATAATTTTGATAATATAATAAAACAAAACAAAACCTGTTCGATTGGATTATTGGCTGTCGATGACGTTGGAGATTTTGAAGTACCCGAGATTTTATTAGTTTTTCGTCGTAAAGATAAACAACTGCTGTTTTTTGTCTTCTTTTTCTGTGAACATATTTTACTGTTAGTTAATAATTTTTTTCTGTTTCTACCAAACCCACTTAACGATATCTTTACTACCGTTTTTTTTTTTCTGCAGACTTAGTTTGGGCTATTGAAAGTGTGTACGGCGATTTAACCGGGATTATTATATAGTACACTACAAACTATTCACAGGTTATTGTATAACAGAAAACATCTTTATATAAACAATAAAACAGCGAACAAAATTTCAACCTTTGACACTTTTTCTGCACCAGCCACCTCTGTATGAAGTTGGTCCATGCCACCATGTATCCCTGGTGCAATAGTTTTTTTGCTCTTTTTGTTATTCTGCAAAGTTAGTAGACGCTTTTGTAAGTGTTTACGGTGATTAACCTTTTCGGGATCAGTATATAGCTCGCTACAAACTATTTACATGTATTTGCACTACAAGAAACTTCTTTATATTAACAATAAAACCGTGAACAAAATTTCAACCTTTTGTTTTGAATTTTTTCCTGCACCTGCCACGTCTGTATTTGATTGGTCCGCGCCATCATGTTTCCCTGATGCAAATTTTTGTTTGCTTTTTCCTTTATTCTGCAAAGTTAGTAGACGCTTTTGTAAGTGTTTACGGTGATTAACCTTTTCGGGATCAGTATATAGCTCGCTACAAACTATTTACATGTATTTGCACTACAAGGAACTTCTTTATATTAACAATAAAACATAAACACTCAATAAGCTGGACTCAATATAATATATAATAATAACCTGGTGCAGTCAACGCTCAATGAAAATGAGTAATCAATAAAACGTACAATGAATTGCTTTACATCGTGCCTTGACAAACAATGATATTATTAATGTGATGTTGAAAACATAACGAAATATTCAGATTTATTAATTTAATATATTTAATTCAATATGAATTAATATTAAGAACATTAAGCAACCAATTGTATTGTAAATTCCACATCTATGAGCTCAACTCCATGAAATGTTTAAACAAACCCCCTTTTCAGCTTGTACTGCAACAGTATCAAAAAGATTCTTGTTTAAAATATCATCCCTTGTCGCACGAAAAGAAGTTACTTCCGATTGTGTGGCTTCCGGTGTCTTCTGCAAAGTAATTAATTCATTTTGAAGGTTTTAAGTAGTTTTGATTTTTCTTCTTGAGATTTTGTGTGTATGTGAGTAAGCTTGACTGCTAAAAAAATAATTCAGCTATATATTGTTCAAAATTATGCAATATTTTCCCAGCATAATTTAAAACGTAAAATAAATATTTGAATGAAGTTTTAATGCTTGTCAAATTTTGTTTTATTCTATATATACGCAACACAATTAATTTGTAAGGAAAAAAGAATAATTTACTTAAATAATATAAATCAATTATGTTAAAATATTTCTAAAATTATTTAACATAATTGCTCATGATCAGGAACCACTTGGAAACAAAAACGTGAATAGCGTGTATTGAATAGCTTTTCGTTAAATTTTATTGAAGTAGAGAACAGTTGGAAGATCTCAGAATTTAGAATTAGTTTATTTTTGAATTACAGCCTTTTTAAATTTCTAATAAATCACTTCTATCATATACAACTTATTGTTACTATTGCTTCTAACAACTATTACTATTTGTCACAAATTCGTTTGCTTACTTAGTATGTTTGAATTTATGACTTTTAATTGAGATATGAGCTTTGTGGCTCAAAAAGCTTATATAGAAAATTCATATAGTCAGAGTTTGTTGAGCATCAAACCAAATCCAAGTGTTTTCTTTTTCGAGAACGGTATAGAAAAAAAAATCAACAAAATATAGTTTTACCGCAGTTGGAGTTGAGTTGTTCATGTCACTAGATGTAGTGTTTGGATGTTCTTCTTTCATACTCGTGTTGTCGTTTTTTCTTTCGTTTTTGGCGGATTGTTCTGACTATCATCAACAAATAGGACTGTTAGTTTTTATTGAGAAATCATTAAAACATAGAATTCGCATTGTAACTAAAATAATACCTTCGAAATTGAGCATTCTAGATTATTTTGACCGTTATTTTTGGCTCCAGTATTTTTGGGTGCTCCCGTAGTATGTGCACCAAGATAGCGCACAACCTGAACATAGTATGTGTAGCAGGTTCGGGTTATCAGGCTGTGTGGCATCTTGTTGCACAAACTACGGGAGCGCCTATTTTTGTACAAAATAATTTATATTTTTTTCGCTGGTTGCCTTAGAAATTAGAGATATAAAATTCAGACGCGTTTTTACATATTAATAGAGTAAACAGGACAGTAGATATATTTTTTTTTTAAAAATTTTCAATCAATGTGTTGTTGTTTAAACTGAATATTGGTATGTAATTGGACTACTTGTATTCTATTTGGAGCACAAAATTTGCCCTCAATTGTCACTCAAATATCGACCATCTAACTAACTGCGGTATAACATAATTTTTATTATATTTGAGAGGTGAATAAAATGGTAATGTAAAATGAATGTTAAATAAAATTTATTTTCATTAAATTTAGAAATATACTCTTTCGATAAATATTTCTTCGACTCACTTAATTATATTCAATAGAAAGATTTTTATTGTGTAGTTATTTACGTACTGGGTTTTCATTTACCAAAATGAACTCATATATCCGTAACATAGTTTTTGTAACATTGGTTGCTCTCATGGGCAAAATAAAAATACCGTATTAGAATTGTGAACGAAGAATCAAATTGATATATTACTGTTTTTGGTATTATCGACTAATAAGTATCAGGATTTCTTCAGTAAAACATATTTTGTATTGAAATAAAAAAAAAATGAGATACTACTGGATAATTGGTAAAATCTTATCACAAATTATAACGACAATTATTATAAAAAAAGTTAGGTATTTCAAAAATCAATATGGAGCATATAAATTAACTTGAATTTACAGCTAATAAATTCCATTACCATGCCATCGCCAGTGTCGGAATTGTTACGCTTCTGAAGTTCGTCGCTTTCTTTTGTTTTTACCTACGAAATAATGTGAGAAATATTTTAACATTAATAAAAAAGTGTAAATCAAAATATATGTAAGGTATGGCGATCCTGTAACATATTTTATCCATATTTTAATGGAACATCTAGTTATCCGTATCATTTTTATTCAACTGGTAACTAAAACCTTTTTATAAATGTTTAAAGTAGCGGAGTGTTGTGAAATACATACCGGAATATTTTTTAACAATTTTAAACTTTTCAAATGTTTCTCTTTCTTTTCGCAATCCTTCACTTTAGTGTCCTGTAATATGTTACAATACTGAGTTATAAATTGTATGCTCCCAGAAGCGATTTAGTTATAAGTAAGCATTTTTATAATATTTATCGTGTTCCCAAACGTGCCTTGTTGTAATTCAATAGGTCGACATAAGATTTATAGAAACGATATTTGGTATTATCTCAATTCCAAAATTTACCACTCATTCTCCCAATATTCCATTTTATGTTTTAAATAAGCAACTGGTACTTATCTATTTAATATCAAGGACAACATTAAAACTTGAAATTTAAAAACTCTTTACTTTGTTGTTTTCTAGCCATTTTAATGCTTTATCGCACTCGTTCAATTTTGTTTCTTTTTCCGATAAGTCAGACGATTTTATCGCCAGTTTTACAGAATATGCCGTATTTTCCAAGCTGTTTCTGGCGTTGCTTAGCTTTTTAATTGTTTCATCGTATTCGTCGAACTCTTTGTTTATTTTGATCTTAAAATAAGAAATATTCTGTAAAGGCAAAACAGAAATATCAAACTATTTACAGGCACCTTAAAAGAAATGATTCAAGAAATGTTAGCACATTTTGTTGGTAATTTAAACCGGCATATGTATGAATTCTTTTGACCGACATCATTTTCCAAACCTCTTCTCAAGTATATTTGGGTAAGATATTGAATTATGTCGTGCGACGTTATATCATAAATAATTCTTACCATTCTTTCGATTACCTCTTTGTTTTTTACTTTGCCACAATCGTTTTTATTGACTTCGTGAATGGTATATCTAGGAATCTGCAATTAAAACAAGACTTAGAATGGAAATGATATTATTTTATAAATTCATTTTTGCCGAGCTCAAGTTCAGGGTAAAGACAAGTTGAAATTGTGTAAGGTTTTACGTTCTATATATATTACAAATTGGAATTTGCTGCGAAATTAATAATTTGGTATATTGCAAAAAGGAATAATATATGCTCTAAAAAGCATAGACCAATTGACAACTATATTTTTTCATATTGTTGAAGCATAGTTTACCTAACTTTGTATATATATATAAATATATATATTTAAATAAGTACAAAAAAAACCTTTAGAGCGTCAGTCAGTCTTGCTGCGTGTATGGCAGCGCCAAATGCAACTGCTTCATCCGGATTGATAGTTCTGTTTAATTCTTTCACGTTGAAATATTCTAAAAGAATTTTTCTTATCTCCGTAATACGAGTTGATCCTCCAACAAGAACGATGTCGTCAATCTACAATTTATTATTCTTGACTTGAGATATCAAATATTGTTGTTTTAATACAATGAAACTATTTGTTGAACTCAAATTGAAAACAATGATTTATATTTGCATTCAGTTTAACGCGTAAAATTTGAATAAAATGATATAACAACGATCTTTGATAAAATGTGTACTCACGACTCGTTTTGCAAAATGAATAGTAATAATTTTGTTGTTGCAATGATTGTGGCTTTGTTGTTGGGGTTGTTGTTGTTGCTTTTCATCGCAACTAACTGGCCAATAACTAAATATATATGAACTCGCTATGACCCTATTTTTGACCTTGCCATTTTTTTTTTTGGATTTTTGGTGGGACTTATACCAATGAATCGTTTTGCAAAATTATTGTTGGTAAGTATCTTCTTATTGCGATTATTGTGGCTTTGTTGTTGTCGCTTTCATCGCAACTAACAACCAATATCGCAATATACAAGAACTTGCTTTTCTATTATTTTCCTATTAAAATGCAGTTTTATTTATTTACCTGTTTTTTAGCATTTGCATCACTTTTGGTAACTTTTTCTACTAGACTTTTAAACTTTTCAAACAAATTTTTGTTCAGTTGGTTAAAATCACTTCTGGTAAGAATCAGAGAAGATGATTCTACTCCCAAATCAGCAGCCAAGTCTTCTGGTATTCTATTGATATAAAAAGTGTTAAAAAAAAGAATCCCTTTACAAGTTAAAATTTTTTTTTCATGACTAACCGAGCTCGGGTGGCTGCAGACAAATTTCTTTTTACTTTTTCACAAGCTTCTTTCAATCTTATCTCTTTTTTTTTGCTTTCTGACCAGTCAATGTTTTGCTCCTTGAATTTCTTGATGTAATGGGTGAATATATTGTTGTCAAACATTTCACCTGAAGTAAAAGAACAGACTTCGGTTTCACGTATTCAAAGAAATAAAAATATATCTATATGAGACAATAACAAACTTTCCGAAAAATATAGCTTATTCTTTTTAACATATGTATATTTTAACAATCCACAGGGGTTTCGCGAGACCTATCCTTTTCGAGGCTTTTTACCCTAATTGATTCATATTCATGAAGGATGCCGAATAATAATGATTACTGTATTTGGAACTCTTGAATCACGTAACATACATGTAAGTTCGTTAAATGGGAATGTTATATTTTGATGAAATACGTAATGAAAGAACTCTTATACCTCCTATATTTGAATCTCCATCGGATGTTAAAATTTGAATGTCATTGTTGCCTACTACTGCTGTACTTATGTCAAAGAAACCTCCTCCTAAGTCAACAATAACGATTCGTTTTTTCTTTTTTACCTGATAGCAAAAGAGACAATACTGTATATGGAATATGGAATAAAAATATAAGATACAAATATTTGTCTGCGAAACATTCCCCGGAATTTACAGAAATGTGGCAAGTACAATTTAAGTATTGTTGATAATGGAAATGTTGCTGAATCTCCAATAAAATCTAAAAATATCAATAATAATACCTAAAAATATAATAATGGATGTCCTAGTTGATAAAACTTGAACGAAATCTCTTCTTCCGATTATCATCAAAGTATAACGTGGATTTTCATACGAAATAAAAATAAAGGCAGTTTTACATTTCAAACTTCCATTTTAATTTTGCATTGGCACCGATTTTGCATTGTCGGCATTTGCCAATACGACTTTACTTATTTTATATCGACTGCTCTCAATAATTTGCAACATTTATTTGCGTTTATGCTGTTTATCAAATTAAATAAATATGACCATTTCGTAGACATTGAATACAAACGTGCAAAGATGGGATGCATTAATGCCCTCCATAAATAAGGTAATGTGTATCACGATAAATATCATGTTAATTGCATGTATGTTGAATGAAATATGATATGTCCGACTCCGAGTGTTAAGTATATCGATAAACTCCCTGTTGTTGCTTTTTTATGTACAAAATAGCGTGAAGTGCCAATTTTGAATGGTGTGCGGATAACGAATTGAGTTATTAAATTAGTTTAGTCTGGTACGGGCGAGTAATTCCAACCCTATTGAGTTGCAAATCGTACACTTGAGTCCAATTTATTATCTATGTCTGTGACGTTACACTGCACTAACGGCTAGCTTGCGGAAACTTATAGAAAGCTTATGATAAATAAATGTGCGTTCCGCGGTTATTTGTAACTGGCTCTCATGTTTTAGGCAAACACTGCAATCCATTATTGTCTGATTACTGCTAAATTTTACGAATTCATATAATTGTGATCAACAGATGGAACACAATTTTAAAGCATTTGATTATTAGATAATTGGGGTAGCAATTAAGCGCTTTCAATTTTGAAGTTTATTGAACTCGAAGTAATAGAAGAGTAAAATAAAATGAAATTGATTATGCTAGTTTTTACGAGCAATGTGCTGAACATCATCAATGTGCTGTTGTTCAGAATGTATGTTTTAAACAGTATACTACAGTATACATTGTAGTGTATATTAAAAATGTAAATTCTTCAGATTGTAAAAGCAGATTTCAATAAATATATCACCTAAATATTTTAAAATATTTCCCTGTTTAGTGCCCAATTTTTTTTTTTCATGGTGTTTTTACATGGTCCCAAACAAAAAACAGGTAGGCGCCCAAGATTTATTTTGATACCTGATACCCGCGTCAAATACGGGCTATTGTGAGAGTCCATTTCCTAGTCTCTGTGGCTTTCAGCACTTGGGTACTAATGTTTGAAAATTAGTCTCCTTTATTTCCGAGAGAAACTACGATCCATAATACTTCTCAATGTTGCTAAATTCTGTCGAATATCGCTCCAGTTTTCCGTTACCATACAAAAATTGTAAAACTAATACGAAGCGTACCACAATGACACTGCTACCGAAACTGTCATTTCATTTTGAGCGCTGCGCGTCTCTTGGGCATTCTTGCATGACTGTATAAATATTTGCAACAAGATTCCTAATGCTTTTACAGTATGTGGATTATCGAGATGAAAAATAGTCCATCCGAGTGAGAAATTCTTTACGCGTAAAATACCGTCTCGAAATTTTAGATTTTCTTGTAATTGAGAAAATTGCTGCAAATTATGTAAAGTAAAAACTGCTCAACGATCGACGTGTATTGAGCTGCTGCCATGGAAACGAAACATCAATTCGGACTTTAAGTAAAAAATAGATTACTCGGGTGACAGGATAACTCATTCGAAAAATAATTAATTAATTCGGTCCAGCCGGCTAGGTTCTACAAGTACACACATACAGATAGGGTGATTGAGAATAGGGGATGTAGCAGAAATATAATAACTAACCTCGTTGTCGAAGCAATAAGCGATTGCCGCTGCAGTTGGTTCGTTTATCAACTCGATCACTTCAAAGCCGGCTATTTTCCCCGCATCATATGTAGCCGCTCGTTGATCATCATCAAAACTTGCAGGCACGGATATGACAGCTTTATTTACTTTAGTTCCAAGGTGATCTTCTGCCATTTTCTTCAGTCTGCCCAGAATCATAGCACTTACTTGTTCCGGATATAATGTTTCTTCGATTTTTGTTTGATTCTTGGTATAAGATACCTAAAGAAATTTAATCTATAAATACTTATCCAGTGATGAGTAATTGGTCATCATTTAGTAACTGTTAGCACACTATTACAGCGAACACAAATACTAATTATTATAAGAAACAACGGCTATGCGTACGGAGTAAAGTGCATCGAATTTATTAAAATACTACACACTATAAATATTTTTGTTTTGTAGTCTGTTTTCAAGCAAATGCAGTTCAAATATAAAACCTATCTAGGACATTTTGGGCGGTTTTACTATTAAACGTACATTTAAATGCCTCAAAATTGTGTAATAAAATTATAATATGCAAAAAAGGATCAATCAAATCGAAGATATCCATAAACTATATTTGGTCTCTATGCTGGTAAAATATAAGCTATAACAACAGAAATTACCTGTATACAAAATCGATTCTTATCATCTGTTTTGATTAAAAATCCCCATGTTTCATTATTTCCATTTTGAATTCCATTATCCTTCTTTCTTCCAATTAAACGCTTTACATCTGTAGTAAAATGAAAGAATCAACTTAAAATTCAACTGAAAGTTTTCTACGGCATTGTTAAACATAGTTTCATTGCATCGACATTTAGAAGATTTAATGATGATGTTTATTAAACAATTTATTCATAAAAACTTTTTCATTGAAAGTTATCAATATTAAGTGTCCCCACTATATAAAGTGTTGTCCAAATTGAGAGGGCCTTGGTGTTTTGCAGATTCGCCAAACAAACGTTCTTCTTCAGTAAACGCGACATATGCTGGTGTTAATCGTTTGTCATGTTCATTTGGGATAATCCTCACCTAAATAATAATACATTTAATTCATGTATACGCATTATTTTCAGTCTAATAACAAGAAAAAAGTGTGATACTTAGTAAAATATCTATTATTTTTTTGTTTGTGTGAGAAAAATAATGGTCGCTCTAGAAGTGTGTGTACCAATATGGAGGTAACTAACTTTATTTGATTACTTTACATCTGTTATATAAAATGATTGAAACCTATGGGCATCATAATAAAATGATGGCTTAACCCTAATCTGGTACACATACTACGGGAGTGTCCATGTAACTATGTATGATGGTGACCGTACATTTGAACCCACGTACATTTGAACCCATACGTATATCCGCGGGTTCAATCTATATGCGGGTGCTAAAACCCATGGGTTAGGGTGAGTATGGGTTCAAATATCCGTAAAACAAAGAAAATTCCATAGGTGCAATAGTATGCAAGGGCAACTGTCATGGGTTCAAATGTACGTGGGTTCAAATGTAATGAAACCATGTATGATACAATCATGCAAGAGTAGTCACATTAAATATGCCAAACTATCCAACCTCCAAATTTTCTTTATGAAAAGTTCAACGTTTTTTTTTTTAATTTCTCAACTTTGTGCATTTTAAAAACATTATTCTGAAAGATAAAATATTGGGTAGTTGTTGTTTGGCATATGCTTTTAGAGTGGTTTATGACTTAGTTGGCGCCACTAAAATGTCAATTGTATCAATAGGCATTTTAATATTAATTTTTAATCATGTCTAATTGTTGAAATTTGTAGCTATAGTTTGATATAATGTTTTAAAAAAGGAGTATGTTCTCAGATACGATTTCCAAAGTGTGTATATGAAATATTTGATCATGAGTTAACCAACGTGTTTTAGCAACTTCTCCTTGCAGGCATTCTAGATCATCACTAGACTAAGCATGTGATGTAATTTTTTTTTTCAGACTCATCCAGTCAAGTAGACCATACGCCATCCAGACACACTACGGGTGTACCAAAGAATGTTACCAGTGTTACCGTGAAATTTAAACTTTCTCGCACTTACCGTTCCATTTATGAATGCTCCAACGCAAACAAAGTTTGTTCCAAGATCAATCCCAATTGCGCAGTCACTACTCATGCTCAATTTTCTCGATTCTATAAATAATGAAACTACGTGATAGTGGTTAACCAACCAATAAAGATAATTGCTTTTATCTTCTGTTTTCGGTTTTCTCTATTTACATCGATACATATTACAATCACAGAGAATTGAGATCAGTACTTTCTGTCCATAAATTTACCCAGTATTTGAGAATTTTGTTTTTTATTCTATATATCAAAAATGTATTAACCATTACATCTTTAGTAATCATGATTTTTTATATTTTGAAATTTTCTGGCATGATTCGTCGGAGGATCAAATGACAAGGGCAACAAGCTGGCCAATATTGTACAAAAATATGATAATTAAGAAGTTTTAATTAAAACTGTTATTATTTCAGTGCGCAATCAACATGCATACACATATGAGATAATTATTCAAGTTTTAAAATGCTCCAAGCCTATGGCAGCTATATCAAATGGCGACCTTAACGACATCAATCTCTATGGTTGAGGACCCACATTGTGAGCGAATATTCATTATTGTCACTTGGGATCAACAATTAATGCTAATAATAATACCACAAAGTGATAATTTCAAATTTCCAAACTGAGTGACGATTGCCTGGGTTGTTCTATATATGATACTATGATGAAATCTCATGTTTTTTGAAATAGAATTCAATCGATCGAAATTAGCGACAGTAATACCAAAGTATCCGGTATTTAATTTGGAAGACTTCGATGAGTTAACACGTTTAACATGTTTTTCGAAAAACATTGGTCTTTATTTTAGATGGAGGAGAAACTATATATGTAGCTTGAAACATATCTGTAGCTTTTAAACATAATGCATGAATGCATTTTTAACATAATCTAGATTAATTGATTTGAAAATCACACATGATGTCATGCTAAATATTCACCATTCAGGTTTGAAATTAAACCGTCTATTGATTGAACTGCCCATGCCCATGCCAACTTCTGATTCACAGGGGCAATAATCCAGTGAGAAAAAAGTTAATTTCGGAAAAATAGCATCGATATAAACACAGAGCGTAAAATAGACGAGCTAGCCTACTCTCAGTGTGCTTTCACCTTTACAGACACCAGGAATATAACTATTTTTGAGGGAGAATTCTTCATAATGATATGTACCATGCAATTCTTTGCTCTAGCTTTCGTAATTCTACCAGAAACATCACGACCATAAAAGTTCCGCATTTTGAGAATGGATTCTTTGTCCATAACTTATATATCATCTAAATGCCTGATTTATATAATCCAACTCACCAATTTACATATATCCCTTTTCGTTTATTCAAAAACGTTGTCCAAGATAGCACAGAATGAATATGCTACCTACCCACAAACCTCTCGTTGAGCTCGATATAATAAAAGCTGTATCTCGAGCATATTTGTTTCAGCCATACAATCGTTTGAGGTGGTGCTCACTCGAGCGTTGTATAATCAGATTGAGTAAACTTTAATCTTGTGCGCCACCTAACCGGACCATTTTTCGTGGCACTGTATTCTGCAATGAGTTGATAACGTGACAAAATATATACATTTGATACATCAGATCCTCTATTATGAAGTATGATGGGATGACAAATTTTAAAATGTGCCTCTAACTAAACGTTCAACAAATAGTCATTTAGGTATGTTATGTCATGACTCAATCCACTGATTCAAGATTATTATTAAAATAATTGAATATTCAGCAAATAAATGGATCGATAATTTTCGAGGATACACAAAGATTTGACTTTAATTGGATCTCTAGGTGACGACTACTACCTTTTTCATTTCTTTTCCTTGTAATAAAGGGATGATGTAGCAATATTAACACTACTGTTAGTGATTCCATAGTCTTGTCGCACACTAACACGAATATATAATTTATACAATTTTTTTGCTCATATAAAGATATTCCAACTAAAATATGCTTGTCAGATGATGTTTGGCTTTGTTCTGACGATACTTATATAGCAATATTGCTGAATCACAAAGTTCAATTAAAAATATGACAAATCTTTTATCCACATTACTTTAGTTTCAGATCAAATTAACTATATTTTTCAAGCAGTAATATGAAACACATTACTGTATAGCTTGCGCAACAGAACTTTGTTTGCTGACAAACAATATTCAGGGTTGTCTGCGTCTAATTCTTCTTCCTGACAAACAAAGTAACTGCGGCAAATATATTTAAAGCGCTCTACTGTTTGCATAAATGTCACCTCACATTGTAACGCACATCCCGTGCACATTTATTTGTGCAACGTGATTTGCAGCGATGATTTGTAAGGCGATGGTAAGGCAACTCGTTATATATATATATAGTTGTTTAAAGTAAACAGTCGTCAAACGATGACGCCTATTGATTCAATTTGCTCTCGAAAACAACTGCCACTCTAGTGCCTATAAAATATATAGCAATGAGTAAATTTGAAATCCCACTTTCATGTCCAATACCAGATCAGCAATCAATATACAATTTTTTTATTTCTATTAGTTGGTAAAGGATGCTCATAATATTTTCAAACGCACGATGAGTAAATTCTTAGTATGTCAATAGGCTTTAAATACAAACACAGAATTTAAAAAATGTTGAAATTCTAAAAAAGTAGTGACGTTGCGGTTTTTCAATGTGCTTGTAATTGTAAGTAACATTTCTGACAATTATATATTATATTTTAAATCCTTAAAGTATTTTATTTTAAAAAATATAAACATTGTAGCAATCCAAATAAAATGATGCATTATCACTGATAAACTATAGACTATTTATGGACTGATTAGTCATGACTTGTAAAATCAAAAGCCTTAATTTAGACTTCTAGGCATAAAAGTAAATATTACCATAACACAATAAAATTGGACACAGCTTATTAACAGAAATTTATAATAAGTTTTAAAATACTCAAGATTACGAATACATTTATAATAGATTGTATTTAATACTTATCAAGAATTAGGAGATCAGGATATAGATATTTATTTCTACCAAGAGCCGATGGAATATCCCAATATTTGTAAACGCATGATGAGTTAATTCTCAGTATGTTACTAGGCTACAAATACAAACACAAAATTAAAAAATGTTCAAATTCCAAAAACGCAGTGACGTTGCGGTTCCTCAATGTGCTCATAAATTTTTTTTTAATGAATTGTATAATTTGTAAAACGAGAATATCGGTCAGAGACCGAAGACTTATCGATCGAATGTTAGGGGATCCCCCTGAACAGCGCTCTTACTTCAAAGTGACACCATGTGCCCCATCACTAATTAATTGATAATTCGCTAATTATACGACATAATTCGCCCAGAATCAATAGGATTCTGGTACGAGATATGATGAATGCACATATCTCGCTTTCGTGAGATATCGCGTGCATCTAACAGACAGACTAACACACAGACAGACAAATACCTATCAACATACTTACCGATTAAAATCGATAAGTAATAACAATTCTGACAATGTAATATAACTTTACTTTATGAATTCTTAATGAACTCTGGACTTTTTATCAACTGATTTGCCATGACTTATAAAATCAAAGGCCCTAAATTGTGACCTCTAGTTCTCGGGGATTAATTGGATATGTACATTATTTAAACCGGCATTTACATCTACTCCAACTCTTTGGGCCGTAAAAATAACTGAGGAAATATTCAGTCCTTTTTCTCCAAACTCTCCAACAAATCTGTCCCACCAGATAATTTGGAAAGCACGGGAAGACAGAAAGATTTCAACTCTTCTTTCTTTGATTCGAAGGACTTTTTCAAAGTGTTCTAAAAAAAGACAAAATAAGTGTTTGATGAGTAAATGCAAAGGCATTTTACATCCTAAAATCTCTGCATTATCTGCATTGAGTTATTTTTAACTTTTAAGTAAAATATTTTATATAAAAAAAAACTTACAAAAAACTTCGTTCGGTTCTGTAAGCGTTAAAAAAGGTAACGGGAAAATATCAACTTTTGAAATTACCATTACCAGGTTAACGCATTTATATGTAATAGATATAAATACCTTGTTATTATCAATCCAACCAAGTATTTCATTGCATTTATCAACAACTTTTGACTGTTCCTTCACTGTGATATCACCACAGTTTTCGGGGTTTTCTATGTAATGCTTGATTGCGTACGTGTAGTTTTCTAGCATGTTTCTGGCTTCACTTTGTTCTTTCCATAACGCATCTTCACTTCTGTAGCGTTCTGCCTCAGCAACCTTTTAAATATTAACAACAATCAGATATATTGAATATTTTGATATAAGATTTTAAAATTTGGAAAATCTAAACACGATAGCGAAAGATAAAGGATCAAGGTTCCAAAATCGAGATGATTTGATCAGTTTAAATTATTTGGAATTTATTCAACTTCTCCAGGCAACGAAATGTATTTCAAGTAGGTAAAATTCGTTTTGAAAGAGCTGTAAACTTATGCATGAGAATGACCTATATATTTCATCTATCTGCCCGTTTCCATTTTATTATCACCATATGAGTTGTGAATATACTTTTTTGCGACTTGTATCAACTTTCAAATTGTTTGTCGGTGAGTAATTACTCTTCTTTGCGTGTTGCGACCCTGCTTTAAACTTTCACGTTTGTCTACCAAGCGAAAAAGGTAAATGTATGTTTAAAATGTAGACGCTCCCATTACCATTCTTGAAATTTCTTCTTTGCTTAGTCGTCCTCTATCGCTGGAGATGATAATTTGCTGATATTTTCCCGTTGCTCTGTCACGTCCACTGACATTCAGAATGCCATTTGCATCAATATCGAAGCACACATCAAAATGGGGAATTCCTCTCGGCGCAGGGAGTATTCCATCGATTTGAAAGCTATCCAAGAGTGTGTTGTTTTTTGTCGCTGCGCGCTCTCCTTCAAATACCTTTATTTTATTTAACAAGGTGTCAGTTGTTACTTATTTTTAATTAGCAATAGTCTGCTTTTTTGTCGCGCTAGCTTTATTTATGTAGCGATAAGACGTTGAAAATCTTAAACTTGAGAAACAGTAAAACTATTTAGGTATGAAGAGTAGCAGTATTATGTTACGTATGATATATATATATATATATTACTCGTTCAGACTTTAGTAATTGTAATAAATCTATACTGACTTTAATCGACACCCCAGCAAATTTTATAACGACACTTACTTTGAACAACACCGAGCTCTGGTTGTCTACTGAAGTCGTATAATTTTCCGTGTTTTTAAACGGTATGTTTGTATTCCTTTTGACAATGACTGACATATCGCATCCACCCACTTCAACACCAAGTGATAGAGGTGCAACATCATGAAGTTGAAATTCCTTTATCTGCGTAAAGCAAATAAAAAGTCAAGGTGAATAATTTTGATCTATAATAAAGTCTAATGGAATATAACACGAGGAAAACACATTAAAAGTATTTTATCCATCTTCTTGGCCTAAATGTTTAAATCAGAAGAAATCATTCATTTTCATATGTAAAATTGAATGATCACATTACTTGGAAATGCCATGCAAAAATTAGTTTTATCCCTCGGTGGTATTTTTCAAATTTATTGAACGATAAACATAAAAACATCAAGAATACGTTAGTATATGCCAGTGAAAAGTTTATCCTGATTTAGAATTATTAATATCTCAACATTTGACAAAAAAAATTCTGTTGACTAATTGAATAATTTATAAGGTAATTTTACTAGCCCATTTTGCTTCGAAAATATGAGGAATGAAAATGTATTTACCAGGGACGATTCGTCGTTCGACAGATTAGCAGCGTGTGCAGCGGCACCATATGCAACAGCTTCGTCAGGATTGATAGTTCTACAAAGATCTTTTCCTCTGAAGAAGTTTTCCAATAATTCTCGTATCTTTGGAATGCGAGTTGAACCACCAACAAGAACAATATCCTCAATCTAAATAATTTTGTTAAAAATTATTTTAATATGTTCGGCAAAATATGTTATAATTTTAAAAATATTGCAATAATGAAAGTGAATTCTGAGTATCAACTTTCTTTACCTTGGCTCAGGACATATATACATATATTTACCTCTTAAAAAAAGTCTCATTATGTGTTTTGAATTTTTTGCTTAGCTTCGATTATCAAAACGTTGTCTAATTGCTTCGAAAACAACAATGATTTTTAAAAGTTATCTCAAACAAAATATCATGAAATTTACTAAATAGTAGAGTAAAGTTTGTTTAAGATTGAAAATCGGGTAACTCTTCGTAATTGGTGAGCGTATTTTTGCTATACCATATTCAAACCCTCGTTTTCGAAACTTAGTGCCAGCGATTATTGCACACAATTAACACATCTTTTGAGCATTTGAGTTGCAAGAGACAGTTCAAACATTTTAAAAATTCCATTTACCTCGTCCTTTGACATTTTTGCGTCTTCCAATGCCTGTGCGACAGTCTCAATTGTCTTTGTAAACAAGTCCTGATTCAGAGTCTCAAATCTAGCGCGAGACATCGAGCTGCGGAAATCAATTCCTTCATGAAGAGAATCTATCTGTACCCTGAAAATGCGGACATACATTTGCTAAACCATGAAAGTTGATAACCTTTGAATCACTTTGAATTTCATTTCTATGCACTGCTTATGTGTTATGCATTTAGATAGCGTATATGCATTTTAACGCGTTTAGGTAAATGTTATCAACATTGGAAACTTACTTTGCCTGAGTTGAGACAGACAGCTTTCTTTTTGCAGCCTCACACTGAACTCTCAGTCTGTTCAAGGCTCTTCTGTCCACTGAAACATCTACGTCATGTTGACGTTTGAATTCCTCAACAAAGTGATCAACCATTCGGTTATCGAAGTCCTCACCTTTGTATTAGTTTACAAATTTAATTTGATGCTCTTATTAATAAATGGTATTATTTTTATTTGGTCTCGTATTTCTAGAATCTAGCATGAACTTATTTGAAGACAACTTTTGTAGTTACGCCATTCCTATTTTAGTACCATTTGTGAAAAATCGGCTAAAATCCACCGTAATTTGGAAGTATTTTTGCATGATACACATACAGAATTGTTGAAATGAGGTAAGGTCTCGCAAACGCTTATGTAACAGGATTGAACTAGAAATACTTATACAGCAGTTATTATTGACTTATGTTTGTGTAAAACAATACAAAATTAAATCAGACTAACTTTATCAAAAAAGCAAAATATAAACGCGTACTTTTACTTTGCGCATACCAATTTTGTTTGTTCATATTCTGATATAATTTTAATGTCGTTGCTCCTACCTCCCAAATGCGTATCACCGCCAGTTGCCTGAACTTCAAATATACTCTCTTGAATTTTTACCACCGTGACGTCAAATGTTCCCCCTCCGAGATCAAATATTAGAACATTCCGCTCGCTTTCATTCTGTTAAAATAGTGCATATTTGTATAGATAAGTGATTAGGGGTGTAATTAGCTATTTATTTAATATAGCATATTATATAATCAAATATCACATAGCTCTTAGTTCTCATTGCCCTTTCCGAACAATTCATCGTTATGAACTATGCGTCTAATTGTTTCAAAAATTGACTTTGAATAAAATGCAAATATAATAAAATGCAGGTAAAACTTACCCTTTTTTTTTTAATTTGTTACATTTAAAAATAGGACCAAACAGTTGTGTTTTTCTTTTATGCTAGATGATTTTGCTATGTTCTATATTTATTAATCCGAATATTTTGCCATTCAGTAACATATAACAAATAATACAGTGATATATTCAATTCTGAAGGCTATGCTCATCGTGGCACTTTTATTGAGGAATATAAATAACAGGCTTGCTTTTATTTTTTTGTTTATGGAATCATTGAAATTTTAAAATAAGGACCAGAAACTATTACTAACCATACGATCTAATCCATACGCCACCGCAGCAGCAGTGGGTTCGTTGATCATCCCAATAACATTGAGGCCGGCAATTTTTCCAGCATCTTTTGTTGCTCTGCGTTGAGCGTCATTGAAATAAGCAGGAACAGTAATAACAGCATCAGTGATTTCTTCGCCAAGGTAGTTCTCAGCAGTCTTTTTCATTTCTTCCAGAACCATTGCGCTGATTTGCTCTGGGTAATATACCTTTCGTTCGTAGCATTGAACAACCTAAAAATATATCAGAACAACTTCAAACAGTGATTTCTTCAAAAAAAATAACCCGAAAGCTGAAATAAAGGAGACTGATCGCTTTGCGGTGTTACGGGCGACCACGAAAATTCCATGTAGCATAGTAATTGCGCTTTGTAAATACCGATTGACCTGATACTCGAAGCAGTTCAACTATGGAATAGCGAATTCTGCAGAAACCTTAACTTGAAAAATTTGGTGTTGAAAAACAAATAATATTTTTTTGTTTCCTGGGATAACTGACTGGATCAACTGATTACAAATACAAAAAAATAAACTATTGTATGTAGATATTTCAATTGTATGAAATAATAACATTTTCTTTGTCCAAAATTGGGCCTAATAATTTACATGCTACGAGTTATTTGAATGTGGTATTGAAAGGATATATTCTTAAGGCTTAACTACGTATTATGAGTGTCTGATTTCCCCGTTATTTTTTAGGGAATGTATAACGCGAATGGGGGGTTTATTTGACCGTTATTTCTTAAAAAACCATGTTTTTCACAAAATATATTAAAAGGAAGAAATATACAAACCGGTATTTTGGGTTTATTTCCATCATTCAGAATTACGAATCCCCAAAGTTTCATATCTTCTTGCACCACTGGGTCATCGTATGTTCTTCCAATTAAACGTTTGATTTCTATGAAAATATATGTTGTTGTTACATGGAGGTCAAAATTAAGGAATAATCAGTTTTATAGACATGACCCTATAAGAACAATTATTTTAGTAATTGTTACTAATGTATTGTAAATAGTAACGTACAAGCATGGGACATACAGGTTTTAACAAATTAACTACCCAATAAGTTGAATATGTCTTCAAGTACATAAATGGATATTTTATGTTCTATCTGGAAAAATATCAAATACAAATAAAATATACTCTTTAAAAATTGACTCAATCATATTCGTGAAGAATGAACACATGATATATCTTACGAATCAGAGTGTTTTCAAAGTTAATTGGAGCCTCCTGTTTCGCCGCATCCCCAATTAGACGTTCTTCAGATGTAAATGAAACACACGAAGGTGTTAAACGGTTACCCTGTTCGTTGGGAATAATTTCCACCTTTGAAAGTAAAAAAATATGAATGAAAATAACACTTTATTGGTTATCACATTATCAACGCCTTTTTGATTGTAACGTTGTATCGTGGATTGATATTTTCGATGTTATAAGCATTTACTTATGCTTTCATTAAGCAGTGGGAAAATGAGCACTAACTTTTTTAATTAAAATAAAATATTGAGAACATGAAGTAAGTTAATTCTGGGCCAAACTGATATTTGGTACATGAAGTAAGTCTAGCGGATATATATTGCTATAATTTTGAGACTTAATTAATTATTAAATCATTCCTAATTGAGTATTAAATTGTTTATTTCTTTATTAACCACATACAATAGTTATAAGATAAAAACAATATCGATTTGATTGAATAACATGTGAAAATGATACGAAATTCATATGGTATAGTGATTTTTACATTTTACTCTAATGATATAGTCACTTATGAACGTGGCAAGGGCGTGAATGACTAAAATATTTGAAATTTAAACTTAGGTTTATGCCAATTAATTGAGTAATGAAAACAGAATCAAATACCTGTCCATTCCTGAAAACGGCCACGCATGAATTCGTTGTTCCTAGATCAATCCCGATAGCAGGCATTGTTATATGTAATTTTACTTTACAAATCTAGAATATCAATATTCGTTAACATTGGTTGGTAATAGTTTTCTATATTTAAATATCTATAATACCTATTGAAGCAGTTTTAAATCAATCCAAACTATTTACAAAAGTAAAGGTTATTTAGGTTATTTTGTTTCTTCCCGATATAACTGGAACAAATCACACTTCATAAATATACATAAATTTATTCTATTTTATTTGTTTTTCTGTCATGACAAATTGGTGCTACTTTGGTAGGCAATTGAAACCCCATTGAGCAAGTGAGATAGCCTACCAAACAGACACCAATGTCTCTACAGCTAAGTTTAAAACTTGACTATAGCTGCGTCGTCACAGCCTGGGCACTGAAAAATCGAACATTGTAAAGTTCTCAACAACAACAACTTACAATACCCTTTATTTCTATAATAAAAGGGTCATAACTGTGAATATAATCTTCGCATAATCTGCTTATTTCTCCACACAGCTAACGCCCAGCAAGCACTTCCTCTTTCTTACGCAAGTGAATAACGACTCAAGGGCGACATCGCATGTGAATTCTTGTATAATAAAGAGCGACGGTATAAAGTGTATAAAATGTATTACATAAAAGAAGCATGAAATAATATGTTCTAATATTTGTACGTATTCATTATTAGATTAAACATACATACTCTCATAGAATTTATTTTGTTATTACAATTACACATCAAATGAAGATTGCATCATTTTCTATATTTTTGATTCTAGCTGTCTGGGACTTCACAACTGTACCTTGCGGACATAAAGATTCGCTATCACCCTTTATTCCATTGGGAACAACTCATGTGTTACGACGGAGACCTATTCTTTAGTCACTGGGTGCCTATGTTTACGCAGCAGTCTCATATGTACTACAAACAAATATTAAATTTCGTTTTAGGGTCGATTCGTATGGGTTGGATTCGGCCACGCTTGATCCAACATATTCAGACGGGTTATAACGATAGCCACTTTCAAAATGATATACAAGTCAAATACTGTTTCACTAAATTAGATGTATTTAAGCATTTGTTTTATCCAAAAGTTATCCTTGTTTTAAAGTAAAATTGCTAGCAAATATACTCTTCATGCATGATCCTATCATTTCCGTGAAATATCAAGCAATCAGAAGAATCTAAACATGCTTGATGCTCATTTTATAATTGTCACATACCAGCGGAGTTATAGTTTAATATTACCATAATGTAAATCGCAGTATGGTTTGTAGTAAAAGGCATAAAATAGATAGTTATTGAAATATACTGCTATCGCATCGATTGTTTGCAAGACAAACACTCATAAGGATTTATGTTTAACAAAATGCCACAGTGTGATTAATGACACACTTAGGGATGAACATAAGTTGTCCTCGTTTAACCATTGAAATAGGTATTGCACCCCTAACGTTGTCTTGAATGGGTAAATCATAACCGAGATATTTCCGTACATTTGTATAATGAATACGACATATAGTTAAAAAATACGAATTACTGAACCAGTATTTCTCTTTAACTTTTATTTTGTAAAGCGTGTTATGCTAAAGCTGGAAATGAATCGAATTGAAACATTCAAACACTATTATGCTATAAAAAGATGATTGTAACATATGACCTCAATTTTAATTACGCCAAAGATACATGTTTATTAAATTGCAAAGTTTGAAATTTGCATTCTCAAATTAAAAGTTGTGCTGAAGGGAGTATTTTTAGTCCTATTGAAATTAAGCAAATACTAAACATAACCATCGACATTTACCTGAAATCTTGCCCCTTATCCTTTTAACTTATTGGAAACAACACATGCGTGGCATTTGGCATATAATGTTTATTCATTGTCTATTCACAGGGTATCTTGACACGCAATGCGCATTTGAGGAGATATGTGATGCAATACAGTTTAAAGAAGATAGTTACCAAATGTACCAATCTGGCTCAATCTAACATATTACGTCAGTTACCAACTCTGGCCCACTCTATATTATATTTCTCAACAAAAGTAATTCAACACCTTCATTCGAGTATAGACACGTAAAACCAAAAATACTCTAAGGGATATAGATACGCATGGCAGTTCGTGCATAAGTCAGACTTGTCTCTGTGATATCAAGCATGAAGTAGAACACAAACTGACGTCATACAAATTGTTTTGAAAAATGTTCCATAACAACGAAATATAGTTCATTTATCGCTACTAGGTAAATAAAATTATACATCCGTAAGGTCTTTAAATTCCATACTTATCGAGGTATATCGAATGCCGTCGCATCGTTCGTTTGCAGAACAAACAGCAATCAAACTTATACTCTGTGTTAACCCCCAGTGAGGTCAGTGAAGCGTTTTCTAGAAAATAAAATACAAGTGAAGACATTGAGAGCGTTAAATAGACGTTCAACATTTTCTTTGTTCTGAATAGTCAAATCTATTTCAGTCAAATTTTTTACAGTGAATACAATGAATGCAAAATAAAACTTCAACTTCGAATTGCAGTACCAATACCAATATCCATGGCATTTCTAAATCTTGTGATATTTTTAAATTTTACATGCATATTATATTTGAATAGCATCAACACGAATTTACTTACTTACTAGGGCATAATTTTATTCCGATTTTCTTTATTTTTAATTCTATTACAAATTCGGCGACTGTCTCTGTTAGGCAAGTGAATATACCCCTTCCCATAGGCTTCCGTCTATTATACAACTTTATGTAAAATGGGCGAACAAAATTAGTTAACTCCATATTGGTTCACATACTTCTGGACCACAAATATATACCAGTGTCAGTGTAGTGTACGTCTCGAATATATCTCATCCACAATAACTCCAACTGCGAGTGTTGAACAAGTACAATTGTAATATTTCAAATTGTTTCAAATTTACGTCGTCCTAGATTATATTTTCATGGATTTAACAAATAAGTCTAATCAACTCTTAATCAACCAAATAATCTATAGTATAAATATGTGTATCAATCTTTTTAAAATAATTTGTCGTGTATGCTTAGAATCCTGATGAGACTGGTGAGATTAAAATACCTATGAACAATGAGTATTGATCTCCCGTACAAAAGTGAGATTACTTCATTCATTACGAATGTTGCGTTTTTGGAAAGTTAAATTAATTTCAAATTTCAAGAAATTTTTATGCCAGTATTTAAGCTTTGCCAATAAAACACTTACTGGGTATTACATTAAATAGTATCCAATAATATGGTTGGTAAGGTATGGTGGCGCATCGTTGTCACGCGTGAAATTAAAAAAAAATAAAATAAAAAATAAAAAAAACTTGAAATAAAAGTAAATTTTTTCTTGAGTAATGATTTTCTTGAGCAATATTCAATTAATTTAATATGCAAATGTTCTATAAATTCCCCATGATACAAGTTCAACTAGAAGTAATATATATATTTAAAATAATGATAAGATAATATGGAATTGAATACGAAAATTCGAAAAATTTGTTTTTACGTGTAGACTGTAGAAGGTAATTGAATTGGAGAATGCTGCTTAAATGCTCAGCTGTCCGGACACTCGTGCGATACCGATATCGTCTGATCGTACCCAGTACCCAGCATACAGTCACTCATGAAACTAGTGGAAGATACAGATAGTCTATCTAGTAGAATATGGTGAATCGAGGGATGGATTGAAATAAAAGGTAGAGCCCGCGCTATTTATCATTCGTCTGGATCGGTAAGTTACGGCTGTACGGTATGCCGTACCGTATGCCATACCGTATGCACATGCCGAAATGCACGTTCCATTGAAATCAGGTCTAATTATAATCGCCTTCCAGCCTCGTGGTTGTACGATCAGACAGTAGAGGCTAGAGCCGACGGACGAGTCTAACTAGGCAAATTTATGCACACAGTCCTTTTCTATTAATTCAAGTCTGTGCTATGTAAATTATTCACATTTTATTAACTCTAGGTTACCGGTACCGTACTTCCATGACAATTACAATAACCGGTACCATGCTGGTAATTAATATTACGTACAACCTGCAACTGACTGCGCTCAATCCATCACTCGATTCACAATATTCTACTAGCTAGACTATCCGTATCTCCCATTTGTTTCATGAGTGATTGCATGGGTACAGGTAAGGTCAGACGGTACCGGTATCGTAAAAGTGTCCGGACAACTGAGCAGTTAAGCAGCATTCTCCAATTCAATTACCTTCTACACGTAAAAACAAATTTCCCGAATTTTCGTACTCAATTCTATATTCTCTTATCATAATAATAAATATATTACTCCTAGTTGAACTTGTAGCAAGGGGAATTTATAGAACCATTTCGTTGTGAATTTATTAAATATTGCTCAAGAAAATCAGTAGTGAATTAGAAACTCAAAGAACACCGTTTGTGAGTGTAGGATTATGCATTGCAACGTTGGTCCCAAGCAGAAGCAAATTTTTCAAAATAAAAATATTTCTCAATTTTACGCGTGACACCATAGTAAGGGTCGTAAAATCACAAAAAATCGGTGAAATGTTTTCAATATTCATCAATGATAGTCCGTGAAAACCACTCTTACAAATTTACATACATGACATTTTTTTTGTGTACTTTTAACGCGATGCATGTATGACTAATCACAAAACTTTATTTAAATAATATTACAGAATTTTTTCACCGTTTTCTCGCTTTATAAGATTTGCTTTACGTTATCTATAAATTTTCTAAATCTATTTATAAATAAAATGTTTATAACTTCATATGAATTATTCGCGCTCCAGAAGTGTGTGTACCAATATGGAGTTAACTATTTTTGTTCGCCTACTTTACAACAAGTTGTGTAAAGGGACTGGAGCCTATGGGCAGGGGGATATTTACTTGGCTTACACAAACCAGAACTCGTTATAGACCTAAAATATAGAAAATCGGAATAAAATTATGGCTTTACCCGAGTCTGGTACATAAACTACGGGAGTACCAAAATACTTACAAAGATTATCATTTACTAAATAGGTCTAACTGATTCTACCCTGAAAATTTAAAATGAAAACTAGTTTTGTACTGATACAATATATTACATATATAGATAAAATAATGATTCATGGATAAACTCAATAACGATGCATATGAAAACCTCTATTACGATTTATGAAAAGATGCATAATCATATATCTTTTTATACTAACCAATGATGTTTAATATACAATGATTTGTTTAAAAAATTTTCAAAGATCAAGTTTCAAAAACCTGTAGGTAAAAATAACTCATTCCAATGTTTAATACCAAAATGGCATTTGCAAATTTGTTACGCAATTAGAAATCAGTAGTTTTTGCATTATACTGAAAATGCACTTTGTACAAAAAGAATATAGAAATAGCATTAAAATTGCATTTACAGGTGAATGGAAAACCATTGCTGGTTATGAGACCGCGATGAAGTATGACAGTAAGAAAAGCAAAAAGTTCAACATAAGATATTAAAAAGTATACTTCAACGTGTCTGATTCGATAATCCAATAAAGGACACCCACTCGGTACAGAGAAAGAAGTAAGGTAACCATGGAACAGAAGGGCCTTTACAGCACTAAATGCAGTCAGCACAGAAGAGCAATACAATAACATCTCTTTGATTTGTTTCGAAGGGCAGGGATTTCCAACATAGACAATACAACTTTTGTTGAGAAATAAGTATACGACTGAACTGTTATCATTAAGCTTAAATAAATTTTCGAAAATACATCACTATCTGTATCTGATACATAAATTCAGATTATGCATTTCACTTCATCAAGAATGATGTAAACTTTGTTTCAATGTTTAGAAAAAAAAATTCGGCATTTTTAAATATCTTCTTTAGAGTAATGACAAATATAATCACGTAAATAGAAAAACTGCGTCTTAATAAACAGTTACTTAATATTAAATTACATAAACATTGCTGTGCAATTGAAAATACTCTTATTTGTATAAAACTCTTTAAATCAGTCAAAAATCAAATATTATTCTTATTAGAGGGAAAATATTCTAAAACATAAAAATATGGTTATGCGCATATTGTAATTCAACATTTGAACTTAATACACAAAGTCGGATTTATCAATAGGCAAGGTAGGCGGGAAGTCTGAAGTTCCAAATCCATACGCGCTTCAATTTTGAACTAAAATTATTTGTTAATTCGGTTTTAAATGTTAAATTCATGGGCCAGAACTTTCATTTTTTAGTCAGGTTGAATAATTTTGATCCCAAGAATCAAAAATTTATATTAATTCCTCAGAATGACATCTAATCCATATTGTATATGATTTTACTTTTTCATCATATTTTTATCGTAAACCTTTCAAACATGATACCTTGAGCTTTATGGATTGTTCTTAAATTAAACTTATTATCCAATATACTTGCATTATTGACGTATGTATCTTGCCCTCAATATTTTTTTTATTTTATGTAAATTTTTAACAAATCATTTGTAGATCACATAGTACAGATATGAATATGATGTCGTCATAATGCCGGTCCATAAGAATAGCCTTATGACGTCACATTTGGAAAGGATCTCTCCCACGGAATAATCTAATGCTTCTGGTCTAAATCCGCCTTTGGCCATACGATGAATTATAAAAAATATTAAATAAAATTAAAATTGTAAATAAACTACATTTTTCCAACAAAATTGTCCCACAGATTCAGGAACAGCCAAAGGAGTATTTCAAATTTTACAACTCTGTCTCAAAGACGCTGGTCATCTAAAAAAAATGGGTTGATATTATACATAGATACATAATTTACATAGATTATTGAGTCTAAAATACTCTTTAACTTATATGATCGTATAAACACGCGTCTAAATTGACAATATTTTCAGGCACATTTAAGAGGTAACAGTCAAATAAAAGTATCATTACTTTGATAATTTGAACTTTTAATGACAGTTTTACGATTATGGGCTAAATTTGTAAATTAAATATACATGCAAGTATAAATGCGCAAATTTTTAAAGAACCATTTAGCATTCCCGCATAGCAAGTCTAAAATTTACAATAAAAATACGGACATCGGAAATATATAAAAGACGGGCGCGAAATTGTTCGTTTTTTATACCAATATGATTGCGCCGTTGTCCACTACTTCTTTTCATTGAGATTTAGATACCCTTTAGCATATTCATATATTTCGTACTTGTTTTTGTTGCTCTAGTCTTGTACATGATGTTTTGTAGATATGCTCAAGTTCTTCTTTCATTTTTTTGTACTTGTCCGTCGAAGCATTCTAAAGAAGATATAAGATATTATATTATCAAACAATCAAACATATTAATTTAGGAACTTTTACGAACGCTACGCATTTTCATGAGATATATATATATATAAATGTACCTTGTAAAGTTTGAGAAATTCTTGTATACTTCTGCATTTTTGGAAAATGGCATCTTTTTCTTTCTTTTCAAATTTTGCTCCAGTTCCGGACATGATTTTGATGATATCATCTACATATTTTGCAAGAGAATTTGCAGTTGTTTTTTTTGGAACCTTTTACAATAAGTATAGTCGTATTTTAACTTTTGAAGATGTAGAAAAAGATGTAAACTATGTCAAAATCTAGATTTCTGCATTTCTAAGTTTTGATAACTGGTTTTTATATTCAAATATAAATAACACTTTCAAATATATTGTGAACTTATATTAGGATGTCTAACAAAAAAGTATATTATTTAAATTTTGAGAATTAGAATTTTTATTATTGACTCCTGGTTCTGATCGTCACAGGGCGACTAAATAATTAATTAGACGTGTCACATGCGTTTGAACACGTCGATAAATGTCAGATTTTTTTATGGAAATACTTGTCTTCATACAACACATAAAGAGAAAGTTCACATTTGAGTTTAGTATATCATAATGGAAGAATAAATTGAGTTCGTTAGCTAAACCCAATATCTAATTTTAATATGAATAAAGGAGAAAAGAGAAAAGTTAGGAGGAAAAATACATAATTACATTTTAACTAAAATATAAATTAATCGGACAAAGTGTATAGAGCATCAGTGTTTGCGAACTGCTCAATAATTCCTTCGCTGATCATTGAAATATGTTAAGTTATAACCAAGTCCACCACATTAACAATTCACGTTCGTACCCTGGTTAAATATTAGTTCAGGTCTTTCAAAAAGTATGAAACTAGATTGATGGAAAGCTACATAATAGCGCAATACGAAAATATAATGAATTTCAGTGTGAAACATAGTTTGAGAACATATATAAAGTTCATAAGCTTTTAGTGATTTTCTACATATTTAGGAAATAAACAATTCAAACATTTTATTACGTCAAAAGTAACAACTTAAACAACAATGATCTAACGACTTGATTCAGTAACACTTTGTCAGAAACAAAACAACAACAAACGGAATACTAATTAATCCTTATCTAATAGTAACTTTTGAAACATGTAATCGGACTGTTTGTCTAGTTTACCGTATCATATTTTAAATTTGCTCTTACGATTTTTTTTTACCTCCAGTCTTTTTTTGATGGATGGCTTGAACACAGTCTCATAGTAGGTTTTTAATTCATTCCTTTCTTCTTCCAAAGTTTTTTGTTTGGCTTCCTATAATAAGTTACAAAGTAGTAATTTTCATCTATATGAAGCTCATTTGAAGTTAAACTTTAAGTAACTTAAAATCCGTTTTACTAAATCACGAGGTGAAAAAAATTAATGTCAACTTTGGTAATAATGGTAATCAACAACTTGAGAACTATATAGAAATATATATTCATAAAAGGTAATTGTGTATTTTTTTTAAGTTTTATCTAATCACAGTACAATATAGTTATTATTAACAAATTTAATTGAACTACCCCCATTAAGAAAATCGTCTGATAATTCACTCATTAAGGATAGACTAATGTTTGACAATCTATTCAGATCTTTTAGATATATATTTGAATATACGTTCAGCATCAATATTCAAACTTATTAAATAGGGTCTACACACGTTTAACCTTTTCATCGCAACAAACCAATTTCTCTTTGCAGCAGTTTTGAAAAAGATGTTATTTGCTGGATGTTTAAAGATTCAAAGTATTCATTATCAGATAATTTTTTTTACCATTACTTAGCGCAAAATAAATAACGGAGCCACCGGGTAACGTAATGTAATCAAACTTATTGTAAATCAATTATCGATGCATTTTGCAAGTTTTTGTTTTATTTCAGCATTTTTAAATATTCAAGATAAAATTAGGATCAGTAAACTGGATGTTCTATAATAAACCATAATTGACATTCAGCAAATCTTGCATTGTGGTGTCCCAAATATTATCAATTTAGATCTCTTGACTCACTGGGTTTTGTTTTATCCATGTTTCTGTCTTGTCACATTTGCCCTTGATCAATTTTTTGTCTGCAGGTTCCAATTTTAATTCAGAATTTTCAATATCAATTTTTACGTACTTAACGTATTCAGAAAGCAGGTTTTTGTCTCCTCCAATCTTTGTACTATTTGCATTATGTTTTATGCTTGAATTCTGAAACATAAATACATTTTTTCTAAATAGACAGATGGAATGAATGCAAACAATGTAAAAGTTCTTTTTTTAAAATGAATCAAAAAAGAATCCGCCTCATCCGGGGCAATACCGAGCCGAAAACAACATAAAACAGCATTCTACATACCAGCGGCTTGTATACATAGGTTTTTTTGCGGGAAAATGCATTTACTTACGTGGTATGTAACGTACAGTCTATTAAAACATTAAACAAAGTCTTTCTCAAACTATGCATACCTTGTTTTTTTCCTCCAATTGTTTTAATACTTCAGAAAATACATTCCAAATACTTTCAAATGTTGAATGCAGTTTTACGTGTGAGGAATCCTTCGAATTAAAATAAATGTAATTTATTTTTTCAGTTAGAATTTTGGTTACTGAGTCCAAATTTGGATATATATTTATTTTGTTTATATATATTTTTAATGCCGTATTAAGCAGTCTCAATCAAAAGATTTCCAAAACTAAAATACCTGAAATTTCATTCAATTTAGGACAGTCTGCTAAAATTCCTAATGTTGCAACTGGCATTAAATAAAGTGCATATAATCTCACAAGGTTTCTTAAAACTTCCTCTCCGTTTGTGCACAAGTCAATCAGCATTGTTGAATCGTCCGAGTTGAAATCATATTTTTTTGTCTTGACTGCATTTCTGACATGCTCTATGTACTTTTTCAGCTTGTCTCTTGCTTTCTTTTCTTCTTCACATTCCTGGACATAACATATGTATGATTTTATATAGATGAAATGCCTATTTAAAAAAAATGTAAAAATACATATGCTAATTAGCTCACCTTTATTAGTCGAAAGATTTCATTTTTTTTGTTTGTATATACCTCCTCTTCTTCATCCTTAAAAATAAAAATATCGCCCAGGATAAGTAATATAAGTAGTAAAAAAACGTTAACATAATTGCACTGAAGTAATATTTTTACTTATAATAGTCAAAACTTTGGAATGGTAGAACGTTTATGTATTATGAAAGTTAAATTACAATTTCGATTATGAAATATTCAATATATTGTTGTCTGAACCACAACAATTTCCCGGATGAATTCAAATTTTGCAATTACTTTTGAACAACAATTTATCTTAATGTTCACAATTTCAGTATTACTATACTTACCCGATGGTTTTCAATCCACTCCAACATGTCATTGCACTTTTCTGATATTTTATTTTTGTGTGTTTTCGATAACTCCAAGCATGGAATATTTTGTATTTGGCCATATATCAACGTTTCCAAATTATTTCTTACTTCATCTTGCAGCTGCATTTTTATATCATTTTCGTCAAATTTCCTGTTTTCATCAATCTAAATTATAAAAAATTATTGATACTCTACTAGGTTACACAAAAACAGGTAATTATAAATAATTTAGGTTTTTAATATTTTATTGGTTTCATATACAATGAAAGATGATGTAAAATTTTTTTGCCCAATTAAAAGTTAATATGCAATGCTATTACCAAAAAGAACTTACCAATTGCTCAATATTAAGTTCGTTCCAATCAGAATTATACATTACACCACTCGGTGTGATGTCCAGAATACCATTTTCGTCCATCCGAAGCGTCACCTTTAGTTTTTGAGTTGATCCTTTTAATTTTGTTTGAGATATTAGCAAGGGCTCAACGCTGTAATCCAGTTTCTCATATACCTTAAAAATGAACAATTTTATAAATGCAAACTGAGTTTACATATGGATTGTTTTGATGAATTGTTATTAATGTGCATTCGTTAGAAAAGAACCGTGTGTCTCCTAAAATGATGACCCCTATATCAAATTTTCAGATAGGAGTCGTCGGAAGACGTGGAATTTATTCTGAACTTTACGCTCGATATTTCACCCCCGAAGTTGCATTTTCATTTAAATTTATAAAAACATATTTTTGTGTAAGGTAACACTTTTATCATTAACGTTTTTTGTTCGATAATGATGAAAATCGTTCTTAATAATTTAAGTGAACCCCAAAATGTTTAACATGAAATGTCATGTTCCAATAGAAATCAGGATAAAATTGACAAATATTGAAGTAATAGCCTTTTATCAAATTCTCAAATACCGGAAGAAACGACGCTCGCAGTGTCTCAAAGAAAACAAACACACCGTCAACTTCAAAAGTACAAACAATTACAATTTGTAATGATTATTAGTCTCCCAAAGTGTCCAATAAGCATATAATATAAAAAATTAAAAATTTGGTTTTGTATAGTTCGGGACAGTGCCACGCTAAATGTGCTTAGTAATCATAAGAGGTCACCGATAATAGTGGCTCAGCAGTATTTGTCCAAGACAAATACTGGAAAAATTGCACAACAGGTTGCAAGAACTGGCGAACAGGCAAAACCTAAATAACGCACATGACCTATTTATGGTTTACAGAACTAAGCAGAAATAAAATAAAATTTCTTCTCTCGCACGCAGTGAAGACGAAAAACACCCGGCTGCTACAGCCGTGTCTTTTTCGGAACAATAATTATAACATTAAGCCAAATCGCGAATTATTTTTTTATATGATCTTAAAATCAATCCCTTATTCAATTTACAGCTTCCACGCGCATGACTTCAACAGGGATCAAATTTTCGCTTTTATCGCCCATTGAATAGTTCACGAAAGCGATTGTTTTAGATAACTAATCACCTTCAAATCATTTGGTGTCTCAGGAAACTCGTGAATTTTCTCATTGGGAATTTTTTTGTTCTTTGCCAAGATTTCTTTTCCAGAAACAGATACACTGTGTGGATAAACTTCATTTACTTCGTGCCATTGCCTCATCTGGATTAATTGACTTGTAAAATTTCGATCGGCTGAAAAACTGTTTAAGAAATGCTCGAATTTTGGGAATACGTGAACTGCCGCCAACAAGAATGACGTCATCGATCTTAAAACAAATTGTTTTATTCATTAAATAATATATAATTTGATATTATGTGGCGCTTTTTGTAATAATTTTTAGGAAATTATAGATTTAATTATTCCAGAAAATGTATTCTAGTAGTCGAAGCAAAAAGATTTCATATTTCATATATAGGTTTTAATCAATGTGCACTACCAGTCACTATTGATCAAAATTTGACAAGTCGTTATACCTCACTGTTAAAAAAATTTTCCCAAATTTACTAAAAAAAAATGGCAGCAAAAGTACTGGCCCCATGTAAAAAAAATTACGAGCCCTATCAGTAGTATTATGAACAGTATTTTCAGTAAATTTACAGAGATTGATGGTAGCAAAAATTACTATAAAACTGTAAAAAATACTACTTTTTTGACGGCAGTAAACCTACCCACCAGTAGTAATATTTTTTACCTTAAAATAGTAAATAAAATTACTATCTCGATGGCAGCTACCTTACCCGACAGTAGTACCATACAATACTAGCATGATGGTAATTTCTCACTCGCGATGACCGAACCACTACGAGAGTAGCAAATATCTACTGGCACGACACAACAGTAAACACACAGAATATTACAGTTAAAATAAAAAAACGAGATTCTGGAAACGAAAATCATTTTATTACAATTAATATTTTTAGCATAAATACACACTGAATGCCTTTAAGGCTTGTAAAAAACAGTTTCGAAAGAAATTTCATCAAATTGCCTCAGTACTGATACAAGTACATTGTATGTGTAAAGCTACACACAATAATAACCCAGTATTGTAAGACTCACAGATAACTCACATATTTTTTAACCTGGTGGAAATAAGTGTGGCTTATTCACTGAAAAAACTTTGTCATCCCTGCTATCTAGCATATTCCATTTTCAAGTTTTCTCTTCTAGATTTGAGCTTTTTTGTGACTTTGAGCAAAAATAGGCATGCAATGAAAAAAAATAAAAAAAAGCTCAATGGAATCAGATTCGGAAAAATTCGATTCGAAAAAAAATGTATCCGGAAGTGGCAACCCTAGCAGTAACACCACCAAAGTTTACTTAAACATCAATTTCTAACAACGGCACATATAACGCCTGTGATAGATTCACTCTTCTTGCAAGGCCGATTACTTTTGCATTAACGTCTTTGCCTTTACTTTTTTTCGACTTAGTGCCGCTGGGGTTTATGTCACCGAAGAACCTGAAAAAAGGCAGAACTTAAATGGCGAATAGGTTTCACATATGAAATTTGGAAAACGTCCTGTTATCTCACCACCAAAATAGTAAAAACACAAACACTGGACAAAAATAGTAAAAATGTCAGATATTTATAATGTATCGTGCCTTGCCAAGGGATAAACAAAAAACTGTCAGTGGGCCAGGAATGCAATTGCCAAACCAGAAAGCTACAGATCCTCCTAGCCCCCAGTTGTCGCAAATCGCAATAGGCTCATCCGCTCGTTGACATTCGATTGCAAATGCAGCAATTGAAAAATATTGTATTAATTTCTGTCATTAGTAATGATTTTTTTGCAAATATATCAAAAATTTCCTGCTACAAAATGGAGAGCACAGTACATCGTTTTAAATTGAAGTTTCACTAAAATAGGATTGTTGTGAGTTCATTTTTCACATATGAATGTAAAACATATTAGATTAGGAGGAAACATGTAAACATGTGTTGGTACCGCCAGTCAGTCATCGATTTATTTTAACCATTAATCGGTACCCGTACCCGATGAAATGGTTAAAATAAATCATGACTATTATTAAACACCTAAAAACTGTTTAACTAAATTAAATTATTCCAGCCCTATCGTGGCCCAGTCCCCAGGGTATGGACACCACGAGTTTGTGCAAGTCCAGTCACATATTTATTTTCACAACCCATTTTTTGTTATTGTATGTCATCAAATAACCTACATGACAGAAGTAACAGGTAATTCATCAACAACGTGTACATTGTGCCAACAGCAAGAATTATATCAGCACTGTAGACTAGCACATTTTTTCTTACCTCTGAATAAAATCAAACGTCAGCGAGGCCTTATTTGGATATTCTATGTTGAAAACATAGAACGAAGCAAACTGAAAAGCCACCGCTTCAAAAAACGATCTACAGGAACACACCACTTCTCGTTCAGCGATGACGTAAAAAGTCTCAGCAGTCGCTACCGTGTTACCTGAAACACAAGATTGTAAACTTTAGCTTCGAATCTATAGGCTTATGAATAAAGTGAAAGTCACTTGACAGGTTGATTAATCTTATTATCTCAACTTCTAAAGCCAACTAATAACAAATACACTTACTAGAGGTGGACGATTAGTGATTTTTTGATAATATGCAATTACACAATTATTAATTGTATAATAGTACGATCATCTCAAAATTGGCTTTGGCTATATATTTAATATAGCAGACATGGATTTGTACTTATTTTCACTCACCGTTGATAGCGAGCGTAACACTGATAGAACGAAGGGAGAACTTATTATATTGATGAGGCTTATGATAAGCATTACGTTCTTTCAGAAATATTATATTTCATATTTCAAGCAATGCATACTGTGACGCAACAGTTAAAGCAGGTAGCATGACAGAAGCTGGTGATATCATTTTATAATAATCACAACTGAGAAGTATATGGCGACACAAAATGGCCTTTGAAAAAGTTGCAGAATTAATCACAGGAAAACAGCTATCATATCATATTTCGAAATTGTTCCTGATATTCACAATTACATCGCTCACCTCTTAACACTTACCTATGCAAGCAATAAATGGAGATTTTGGAATATCTTCTAATATCTGGGGAAAAGTGGTTTCTTTCTGAAAATAGGCAAAGTAGTGAATAAATATGCAAAAAAATTCCGTTAACCACTATCATGCAGTTAGTTTCCAATTAATTTGCAGTCGGCTCACAAAACTTTATACGAACAGTGTTGTGCACAAGTTACATTACTCTTGATGCGAAAACTTTCAAAAAAAGCATAGAACATACCTGGAAACACTTAAATATTTGGTTTAGGTCCTCTCCGAAATAATAGGCGATCAACGTGACCACCCCAGTCGATTTTGGTAATTCAGTTTTCAGATTCTTTGATTCCGATTTTGAAGAACTTATAAATTCAGAAATTTTCTTATTGGTTGAACATTTCAATGTCTAATAATAATAATGCCTGAGTAAGTGATCCACTTTCTGATTGAATGACACTAAGTACTGGTAATTTCATAGAGGTTGGCTCATCGACCTTGCGATTAGTTACATAATTTGTTCCTATTGCAAGACTGAAGAGAGATGAAAGTAACATTAAATTACAGCCTGCTTGGAAAAGAAAGGGCAATTATTGTCAAGCAATTATTACACAGACATGGAAACAGACAACCTCTAGAGCACACTATGTCGCATGTGGTACCAGCCTGCAAGAACAGGTGCACAATAACTAGGGTACTTGATTATGAAGTAAAATAAAGAATAGAAGAACTTCAGAATATTTAAGTATAGCCTAACCTCAGATAAGTTATAACCTCTTATAGGAAGCAATAAATAATGGGCACAAGAAGGCTTTCAACAAAAACTCTGCAAGGCATAGCATTCGGAATGAAATTATCTTGCAAAGTATCAGATATTTGTGCAACTTACTTGTAAATCATATGGAATTGGTCTTCAAGTTTTTTAAAATATTCTTTTTAGCTTCTGTTTTACCAACCAATGTTTCATAATGGCGCATTAAACAGATTCCATCGAACAAGTGTGGCCATAACTCTTGATCCCACTGATGCTTTGATTTTGATTTATATGCTTTCGTTGAAGAGGGAAGGTCTGTTTCATATATTCTTCACTTTTCCCAAATCCTGATCAGACTTTGATAATGTTACTCATGCTTGAGCCACATTCTAAGTTGTTCAGTTCCCCTTCATTCATCTGTTCAGGACCCCAAAGCACACAGCCATATCTGTCACATCTACTTGTTCTTCCACCTTAGGCTGTTGGCTCTCTTCTTTGATGTGGACTTCCGCAAGTGTCAATACGCCAAACATTTGTTGGGTCAGGTAGGAATAGCCAGACCCAATGACTTCACCTTCAGGTCCACTTGTATGCTTGAGAAAGACTTTGGATATCTACGTATGACCCTTTTAGCAATAGTCGACAATTCTGCCCTTGACGGCTTGGAACTGCCCGACCACTTCAGGACAGAGTCCACAAGAATGCGAACAAACTCACTTCTTCTGGCTGATGGAACAACTGTGCCATTTTTGCACATTTCAATTATGTCAGTGGGAAAGTCTTTCCAAGATATCACAAAGTTTTCTGCATTGCAAGATGAAGAGGAATCGCTGAATAGTTCAGTTGCATCGGATGAAATATCCAGACATAGACTATCTTTCCAGTATGCAACAATTTTCCGGGCCAAATGACAGACACACACCATAGAGGTCTTCCTCTTTAATAAGCAAGAGATCAGGAGAATCTTCGACGCCAAGGTCTCTTAATTTCACATCCAGGTCTTGTATTGCTTGGTTATTCAAACCAATTTTAGACAGTTCATTCAAATTTATATTAGCCATTACTAAAATCTTCAGCAGTGCCAGCGAGAACTAAAACATTTATTGAAATCACAGCCAAAAATAAAAAATAAATTTTCAAAAAATAAACCTGTCAATGTAATCACTACTTTCCTATATTTATTTACTTTCCTATATAAACCTAGGCAATGGGAAGGGCCAAAAATGTTGAACAGGTTAACGGTACAATTAACCAATTTTATGTACTCAAGGGTTACAATTCTTCCGAGCATAAGTCACTGAAAACAAATTTAGCAATAGAACTAACAGACGCAAAAAAACGCAATACTTCATATTTTCATCCATGTTATTATGTCCAACTAAACCATGCTTTATTTTATTTTTCCAGTATAACAATAACTTGTAGCTATAATTGAATTCATCTGTCTGTTACCGGTACCGTACCTATTGTTGCCACCGACTTGTAACGTTTGAACGTATCACATCACCATAGGCTTACCGGTAAGTTACATCTATTCCGAAACAAATACTGAAATAGCCAATTCAGATTTTTACTCTTGGTCGTCGATAGATACTGGTGCCGGTAACACGGCGAAACTAACGCAGTGTGTAAGCATGTCGCTGTATACAGGTACGGTACCATTAGATGCTGATGTACACGGTATTTAAAGAATATTTTGGTCTACCAACTACAAGTCTACTACTGTAACACAAACATGCTCAATTAACGCATGAAAAGCTACAAAAACCAACCGCCTAAAATAAACATCTACAAAAACCAACCGCCTAAAATAAACATCCACTAACGACAAAGAGCCTCGCTTACCGAGTCCTAATTCCTAAACCAGAAAAAGCGCGGGCTACAGGCACGTGACATTTGAGTGATGTCATAATTGGCACATTACCGGTACCAAATGACCTGTGACGGTAAAGAGAAGGATTAAAATATAGGAAACTTTGTTCTCTGCAAAAAGTACCAGTACCGGTACCTCAATAATCAGACCACTACCCGTGGTAAATCCGCACCTACCGTTGCTAACACAATCATCAAACTCAGACTCAAGCTATTGCATACTTAACATGCGTACCGCATTCAGTTTTCATACGCACGCAACCGATGCTGAGCTCCCAAACAGCTTAGCGGTCCCAGCCGAGATGCGCGGCACAAGGAACTCGAAATCAAAAATGCTGCGCACGCAACCTGCCCCGTGGAGTTTTTGCGGATGAATATTTGGACAATAGGTCCGCTTACTTCCGGAAAAATAAGATATAAAAACAATATCTTATCTTGTCTAATGCAATAGCAAAGCAATCAGAATTTTTGGGTGATGAACCAAAATAATTCTAGAATAAAATTAATTCAAATTAATTTGATACCCAGAGCAAAATTTAGATGAAATTTTAAAGTATTTAAATTTGCTTCGTGACTATATCGCATGCGTAGGTAGATAAATTCGTTCATTGGAAAGAATAGTTACTCGTAAATTAGAGGAACTTAGATTTTTTTACTTTTTCCAAGTATACAAATCTTTTTACTATTTTTCTGTTATATTAATTACTAACTGATCAGTGAAATTACTACTTTTTCCAAGTATACAAATCTTTTTACTATTTTTCTGTTATATTAATTACTAACTGATCAGTGAAATTACTATTCATTAGTAAACTATTAACAAACAAGCACCCTGATTGGCTTAGCTAAGCAAGTCACGTGATTTCAATAAAATACTCGAAAAATTAGTAAAAATTTACTAGAAAAATTAGTATATTTACTAATTTTTTTAACAGTGCTCCTCTTTTCCTAACTTGTTAGACTCGCAAGCTTCTTTTATAATTTCTTCGACTTTCTCGAACAAGTTTTTATTAATTTTTTCAAACTCATCTCGATTTAGTGACAATTTGACTGACTTATTTTCAGATACGATATCCACTTCCGAACTGCAATAACAAAAACTTATCGATAAATTTATGCAAAATTAAATAAGCTAATTGAAAAAAAACGTGGCAACCCCGGTAATGTTACTGTAATAATAAATTTAAATAGATACATGCGTTGCGTTTTTATGCAGGAGACAAGGGAGTAAGTGTGATAATGCTTGTAACACCAACATTTTGTCTTGGAAAATTGATGATGTTTCTCTGCTATTTGCGGATTCGAGTGTAAGCAACATATATTCGCACAAAGACTACTTGAAGGGGTATAAAATTGCAAATTAATTTCCCTCCTAAATTTGCATACGAACAAAATATAATCTTAAATTGTGGTTGAGTTTTTTGACTTTAAAAGCGACAAATATGTCAAATGAGTCTTTTTGTTTTTGGATGAAAATGTTGCAAATAACATCTTTAAAATAATCATATTTCCAATCAAATATTCGTTCCTAGTTAGCATATAGTTTACGAATTACGACAATAAATTTAGTGGTAAGTCATATTAAATTACCATTCGGTTAATTCGTTTCATTGTTAAAATATCCACTAATATCTCAAAGTATGAATTTGCTTGCTTATAATGTGCATAAGTTACTTCCATAATCTTGCAGTTGTGGGTATTTTTGAAATTATAATTAGTGATAAAGCTGCATAAGAATACAATATTAACATTCGTTTTGTGCAATAGAGCTTCTTTTAGGCCAGGGGTTCCCAAACCGCGGCCCGCGGCCCAAATCGGACCCGCGTAACGATTTAAAATGGCCCGCCGAGCTTACGTGAAATAGTGTTCAACAGATTTTATTTCTACCTTTTTGCGATCTAGATAGCGCTAATTTATGTCATTATCAGAGTTTAAGCACGTGTTTATCGTAACAATTCAATTATACCAGTATATCACTTATAGGTACCGCTGTTAGGATTACATAGGGCAATAATTTAGTTATCAGCCATATAGGAAAGCTTAAAGATGTCAGAAATCAAATGAAAACTAGATTCAGAAAACTAACGTTTCTTGGATAAATGGCAGTGTTCGTATTTCTCCTTTGAAAAGTATCAAACTTTAGAGATTTGTCTTCTTTGCCAACGAACTATTCCAGTTCTGAAGGAATACAACATTAAGCGCCATTATAAATCAAAGCGTCATTATGTTTCAAAATATGTCAAATGAAAGTGAATCCACGTTTAGGCACTACATTCCTCCGGCCCGCAAACATCTTTCCGATTCTAATTTTGGCCCGCGGCCAATAAAGTTTATGAACCCCTGTTTTAGGCCATCGTCGAGCTGATTATAATACTTACATCTATTTAACAAAACAAAACAATAAACACAATATACTTACTGAGCATGAAATGCCACAGATAAATTACGTTTTAGCTTTTCACACGAGTTTTTTAGACGAATTAAATTTCTTTTTTCTGCGGTTTTGATATTGAACTCCTTGCCAAAATGTTGGGTCAGTTCATAATCTATACTCTCGCCTGGGAAAAAATGAACAATTTAATAATATTAATTTACAATTTAAACAAATTGTGAATTGAATATAAAAATCTGAGCAAAATGCCCGACTGTCTATATCAGGGTTTCACAAAATTTTTGGGCCGCGGAGCACTGTATATAAAAAAGAAAACAATCTCGATTTTCAAAATCGGTTTTGTTTTATATAATATATCACGAACACATTCTTATCTGACAATATTTATCAAATATATTTTTGTTTTCACACTAAACCGCGTGTGTTTAATTGTTACAAATACCTCCTAGACTGCAGTCTCCATATGACCAAACTATTTGTATAAGTGGGCCATGTATTGTGGCCAAGCTTATATCCAATGAACCTCCTCCAAAGTCCAAAATAATTATTTTTTTCTCCTGATTTGCCTGCAATATTGAAAACAAGAATATTAAAATTTAAAGATTAATTATCATACCTAGCAAAGCTAAATTTGTTTTAGTTAAATTTCACCATTTTTTCTTCCCTGTTTTAGCAAATTGAAGCAGAAATGCTGCCAATATTACTAAATAATGTAAAAAGATGTTAGTGGTATTACCTTATTCATATCGATAACACGCAATTTATATTTTTTATGATAACATGGCTATGATAACAAGGCCTATACAATTGAAATATTATCATATTTTAAAAATAAATCTAAATTTCGTAATTCTTTATCATGACTAAATAGGACTATTAATTGCGGATTACTTTAGCTAACAATTTGTGAGATGTATATGTTCTGTCTACAAAGTTTTACATTTTGTGTAAGAGCAAAATTAAAAACATTCAATAAAGTTTGAATGTTAATGCCTGGTAAATTCAACTAGGATAATAAAATTTAAAAAAGAGATATCTTTCAAATAATTTAATGAACGGTTTGGATGTAAATTTAATCTTTGTAGTATTCATTCGCTAAAATGTAAACGGGAATAAGCTCATATTCATTTCATGATATTAATGAAGTTGGAAACAATCAAAAAAATTTTAAGTAAAGTTAACTATAAAAACATATCAAACCTGCCCGTCAAATGCATAAGCAAGTGCAGCAGCCGCCGAATCAGAGATCAATTTAATGTCTTCAAAACCTGCAATTTCCCCGGCATTTAAGGTAGCCTGACGTTGTGCATTGCTAAAACTTGAAGGAACGGAAATAACTGCTCTTTTCACTGATGCATTTAGATGCGATTCTGATAACTTCCTCATCCTTTCTATAATCATGGCGATAACTTGTTCGGGATGTAACGTCTGTGTTTCAGTTTTTTTTTCATAAGATAACTGTAACAAATTTATTTGCCATTTTTTCATTATAATATGTTTTGTTATTCAATCCAAAATATTTATAGAACAATGTTTATCCGTTTTCAGATGGAGGAATTGTCGTAATTTAATCTTATACCACCATGAAATATAATGATCACAATTTTGTGATTTTAACTGTATAATAAGAAAGGTTCTGCATATTACTTAGAAATGGTTGAACATCTTTTTATCAAATTATGTGTATAAACTTTTGACTCAATTTATCTGCTGTATAATTGTAGAAAGTCAAATTTAAGAAACAAATAAAAATTTCAAAAATGATTTGAACAAAAATCATATATGAGTCATTGTCCAAATGTTGGTTTACAATCGATTGACGTAAAATCCTCATCGTAATGACAACCAAACTAAAAATAAAATGATTATATTTGGATGATAAGCCCACCGGAATCTTAATTTGATGGGCTTCATTTCCAGTTATCGGGTAGCCGACCATTATTTGAATATTATTCACAACTGGATCATCTGCCAATCTTCCAGCAAGCTGCTTTACATCTGCAAGAATATTTAAATAAATAAAGACGCGAGAATAGAAATATTAAATTATATTTTCAATGGCCTGCAAACGTAAAAGGAAAACAAAATTGAAGCTAAAAAATATCTTTTTTTTTGGAATGAAATTCACGAGAGAAGTTTGAATAAACGATCTCAATATTGTATTTAAATTGCATAGCTAAGCAAAGTATGATACAGCTGTTTTTGTTTAAAACTAATCGGCCATGACAAAAAAATTATTTACAGATAAAAAAATTGATAGCAATTAAAACAAATTAAAAATAGATCAACTGTTAAAAATGAAAGACAAATATGTCCTGTTATCTAATCTTAAGAAACGTTCTAAAAATACCACTTAGTATTACATACGTTTTTAGCATTGTTACACAACCATGTATAAAAAACCATCGAAAAACGTCGGAACCCTTTCTTACGTTTTCAATACAATCTTTTACTAAGACAGCCTGTGAGAATTGGATTGCTAAGATTTTAGAGTGTATTAGATATATTGTACCCATTCAAGCGAAACATTAGATTCATTTTAAATCTAATAAAAAGTATTTAGAGTTATCTTTTAAATTGTCCAAGCTGCCCAAGTTTGGCATTAAGTGTGTAAGATCAGCTCGAATTAGAAAAAACATTACATATCTACAAATATGAATACAATAAATTTTCATACATAAAATGGGTTGTCGAGGAGCTAACTAGTAAGTTTTGAAAATATATCTTACTGTAAAAGGTGTTGTCTGGATTAATTGGTGCTTGATGCTTTGCAGATTCTCCAAACAGACGCTCATCATCGGTAAAAGCAACGTACGCTGGTGTTAGTCGATTTTCGTGCTCATTTGGGATGATCTCAACCTAGGAAAATGGAATCTATATAAAACTATACAATGTATATACTTAACGCAAAATATCAAAACGCCATATAAAGCTTTATAAAAAACATAAACATAATATATAGCATGAAAATGAAATATTAAATAAAAAAAATACTACAACAATTGCTTATCAAAATAAAAATAAGATGAAACTACAAATGATGATAAACGTCACAAAAAATATATTAATTTGGCAATGTTTCTGGAGCCGGTTTAAACGTAAAGTAAATGTCTAAGAAATGTTATACCTTTCCATTAACTAATGCACCGGCACATACAAAATTCGTCCCAAAGTCGATTCCTATGGCTATATCTTTACTCATGATGTGCTGGTTTCTTAGCAGTCAAAACATATATGTAGCAATATAATATATGGCATAAATAATTTAACAAGTTCTTTCTGAAAAAAAATGACATCATGTTGGTTAAATAGAATAATTAAAATGAAAAGAATTTTTGCTATACACAAAAGTTTGTATTTTTGTAATGTTAAGTTTGATAAATCAGTCCGAATCGTGCAAGTGTATAACACCTATATAAGAAGACTTAGTCGATTTTATGCATGCACATAGTTTTAGTGTAGAAGAGAACCTAGTATTAGTCCGCAGATTCAATGCATTATACATCTAAATTCACAATAATTTTAAACAGAATACAATAAATACTAATATTGTGCAAAGGAGATTACACAATTGAAAAAACCGAAAATATTTTGACTTATCCACGCAATTCACTATTAATTACTGCAAAAAATAAAACGCCGGGGTCAAATGATGCTACAAAAAAGAAATTTTTCTTATTATACTTCCTCATTTTATAGTTGTGAGATTAATAAAGCGTCTAATTTCATATATCAGATAACAAATATATACCAAATCAACCTACAAAGCTATCCTATCCTAAGAAATCCTATACAATAGATATTTCTAACCTCAAATAGATAACAATTAGATAATAGATAACAATTTTTAGATAACAATCATAAAAAATTTCATTTTTCTGTCGTTATTAAAGTTTGTTACATAGAAAAAAAATTCAAAGTCGTAAGCAGATACATTGAATAAATGCCCAATAAATCACGAGTGATACAAGAGACAAGAACACATTTCCTAGGGTGATCAACTGAGCGTGGAGAGAATTAAAGCAAACAAAATATGTCTAATGCGATAGTACATCCATTTAACAAGCAGTGAACAGTTTTAAAAGGATCAGGTAAATTAAATTCAGTTTGTGAATTTGTTTTTTATCATTTGTACAGAATTGAAATTTAAGATACTTCTATAATAACCTCCATAATTCGTGTATGTAACATAAAATGTAAGAGTTCCAAGTATAGTTATTAAAAATTAAACTTCATTTATAAAAATCTGTCGTTAACCACAAGCGGTAAAGCATTATGTTCGCATCGAGCCTAAAATATTTGCAGCAGACAATCGTATAAAATAACGTATAAACTAATGTTAGGAAGCCGAAAAATTTTTGGGTATATATCAGGTTTGGTGTGATTTGAAAAAAAACTTAACGAAAAAAGTATTTAGCTTCCTGACTACTTTTTTCAAACTACGGTAAAAAGAGCCCATTCCCCAAAATAACAGCAACAAGAGTAAACTCAACAGAAACAGCAATAATGAAAAATGATCACTGTGATAAAATTTTCAATAAAATAGAGAAACACAGTGAATATATGTATTTTTATGTAATGAAAAATATGCGACATATATCCGTCTATCTGGGGGAACCGTACTGGCAGATTACCGGCATTGGGATAGTAAGATCGGCTATCAAATTGGGAGATGTTTTGAATATTCCCATTGATTCTAATGTGCTATTTTAAACGCATTTAAGTCATTTTAATCGCGTGGATACCTGTACATTTTAATATAAAATTATTTAATACTTTCAAAAGTTTGTCAAAATTAACCTTGATCACATTAAATACAAATCGGGTTGTTTTAATGTGGTGTATGGTGGCCCATCGTTGTCACGCGTTAAATTTAAGAAAAAAATGAAAAAATAAAATGAAAAAGCGAAAATAAAAAAATAATTGTGAAAAAACATAAAAATAATTGAAAAAAAAGAAATGAAAAAAAAATTTAAAATTAAAAAAAAAAATTAAACATAAAAACGAAAAAAATTAAAAAACGAAAAAAAAAAAATTAAAAAAAAAAATTGGATAAAAAGAAAATAAAAAGGTTGACAACGATGGTCCGCCTCGTGGCCCATCGTTGTCACGCGTTTTTATTTTTAGAAAATTCGATGCTGCTTGGGACCAACGTTGTCAGGCTTAATCCTACACGCACAAATGTGTTTCCTGGGTTTCTAACTCACTACTGATTTTTATGAGCTATATCCAATAAATTCAACATGAAAATGTTCTATAAATTCTCCATGCTACAAGTTCAACCCCAAGCAATATATTTATAATAATGATAAGAGAATATAGAATTGAATACGAAAATTTGTTTTTACGTGTATAAGATAATTTAATAGGAAAATGCTGCTTAACTGCTCAGTTGCCTGCACACTCGTGCGATGCCGGTACGGTACCGTCTGACCGTACCGGTACCCATGCAATCACTCATGAAAGAATGGGAGATACGGATGGTCTCGTAGAATATAGACTACTGGATAGGATAGGATTTACATATTTATCCCTGGGGAGAGGAAAGCCGATAAGACGGCTTATCCATATGGCAAACCACGGCCTCTCGTCCGGTTACCATTCCAAGTCGGGTATGGGATTAGTTAGTTATACTGTATTGTTTGTTTTCGGAAGCATGGACTTGGTGGTGGAGGAAGCCGTAACCGACCAGCGGTTACGTGAACCACCCAACGACGGCGAGGAGTCCAGCAATCCTCTCGCACATAACCATCCCTGCATGGGAATCGAACCTCCAAACCCACGCAGAATAATTAGAGGTGAGGTGGCGAGCGTATTTCTAACGCTTAACCCGTTGAGCCACACCGCCGCGCCACTCTCTGCGCCTGCCCCATACCGTACAGCCGTAACGTACCGATCCAGACAAATGAAAATTGATAATCCTAGTAGTATATAGTGAGTCGAGGTATGGATTAGAATAAATGGTCGAGCACGGGCAATTTATCATTTGTCTGGATCTGTACGTTACGGCTGTACGGTATGGGACAGGCGCAGAGAGTGTTTCAGTAGTCTATATTCTACGAGACTATCCGTATCTCCCATTCTTTCATGAGTGATTGCATGGCTACCGGTACGGTCAGACGCAAAGCGACTATAACCGACTACCGGTATTTGGTAAGACGGTACGGTACCGGCATCGCGAGTGTTCAGACAACTGAGTAGTTAAGCAGCATTCTCCAATTAAATTACCTTCTACACGTAAAAACAAATTTTCCGAATTTTCGTATTCAATTCTATATTCTCTTATCATTATTATAAATATATTACTTCTTGTTGAACTTGTAGCATGGAGAATTATAGAACATTTTCATATTGAATATTGCTCAAGAAAATCAGTAGTGAGTTGGAAACCCAGGGAACACATTTGTGCGCGTAGGAATATGCCTGACAACGTTGGTCCCAAGCAGAAGCAAATTTTCTAAAAATAAAAACGCGTGACAACGATGGGCCACGAGGCGGACCATCGTTGTCAACCTTTCTATTTTCTTTTTATTCAAATTTTATTATTTTTTTTTTTTAAATTTTTTTTTTTTTAATTTTTCGTTTTTATTTTTAATTTTTATTTTATTTTTAATTTTTTTTTTTTTTAAATTTTTTTTTAAAATTATGTTTATGTTTTTTCACAAATATTTTTTTATTTTCAGTTTTTTATTTTATTTTTTATTTTTATTTTCAATTTTACGCGTGACAACGATGGGCCACCATAGTGGTGGGCTAACTAGACTCAGTAATTATATATCATTTTGACTATATGATGCATTGCGTTATTTAATCAACGCTCATCAATTAATTATCAGGAAAATGATGTACACACATATAGTTGCATATTACGTAATAATTCAGCATGAATATGAATAAATCGTCTATTTAAAGAAATTTAAACGAAATATTATATAAAAATTATATTCGTATTTGTTATCATTAATTAAGGTGGTGTTTGCGGTATCTGAAATAAGTATCATTGAAATTATTTTGGTATTTAAGTAATTTTTGATTATCAATGAGATGATTGTAACAAAATCGATTAAGTAAGAAGAAACTTAATCTCCAGTGGAATTCGATAAATTATAGAAACAAAATTGGCAATATCATTTTGTCATAGTGATTGCCAAGAACGACATTCGAAAACGTTATACTTTGATGAAAAGGTTAATGAAAAGTTTCATGAATCGTCTTTTGTGTCTGTTTCTTTCTGTTAAAAATAAAAACAATTTTTAATGAAAACGATTTTCAAAAACTTCAATTTTTCATCTAATACATTTTTTTTCTTCAATAAAAAAAAGAAAAATTTTTCAATCGAAAACATTTAAGGGGTCTCAGGGGGTCTCCAACACGCGGCCCGCTAGGCATTTTTTTCCGCCCCGCGTCATGGTTGGGATTTTTAAACAAAAAACTAAAATAGTACGATGTCAACTACTAGTAAGTTTAATCGTGTCATTTATCATAAAGAGTCAGGTCTAACAAACTGTGAAAAGTGGAGCAAATATTTTTCCCTTTTATCCAGGTTCATGTTTTATTCTATTGTTATAATTCAATTATAAATGCAATAATTTATTTCGCAAGTTCATTATTACAAAATAAACTAGTTTCGGTCAGTCCATTGTGCCCGAAGAAATATTTGCAAAGCTAATTGCACATTTACGTCGCATACCTGCGATGCTTGGCAGTTCTCATATTCGCGACCAGTTTTTTTTTTCAACTACGAAAGTTAGCAAGTCAGCCCTCCGCACACGACTAACGGACGAGCATTTGCATGTTGTCTTAAGACTAGCAAACCAACGCAATATAAAGCCAAACATCGAGACTAAATATCCAGCACAAGTAATCGAATATGTTTCATGTCTCGTTTGCTCTAAGATTCAAGTGTAATTTCAACACAATTCTTCAGATACCCATTTTTGTATCTAATTTCTTGGTTTGCGGCCCGCGTGGTCAATAAATTTTCCGCGACATGTTTTGAATTGAAGACCCCTGATTTAAAGCGTTATTCTGCAGCAATACTTAGTATCATTGTCTTGATAACACCAGTAGTGATCATAAAGTCACTTCTGTTCGGTTAATAATGCTATCAATTGCGCTACACAAAAGGCAAACACTTTACAAAGTACGTAGTTTATTCAAGTTCATATTAAATGGAATACATTTATAAATCATGGCAACAATGCACGCCTTTTATAATATATTTTGTATGAATATCAGAGACAAGCTTTAAATTTTGATTGCAAAACTAAACCATACCTGAATGTAACTATGTCGAAGTTCACGACTGAGGAACACGATTGTTCCAACATCTCATATTATTATTTTCAATTTATATAGAAAATTGGTAATACTTTAATTTAACAGTATTTTACTATATTACTACCATACATCTAAATATTCTATCTTAAACTCATATGTTAAAACATGAACTTCAATATTCAGGGCCTAACTCGTTAAAAGTTTTCTTATGACAAATTGCAGAATGCGTATTTATGATAATACCAGTTGTATTTAATGCACTGAATCATTTTTGTTTGACTGCAAAGCCAGTAGCTAACTTGAAATAAATTCTAGGTCAGTTCTGATAAAGTTTATATCTAGTTTTTAATTATAACTGTAGTTTTATACCAATGTCATTCAAACACGCACCATATTTCATAACAAAGAAAGAATAAAATACTGACCAATTTATGGCGTAGACTTTTCAGTACTTGATCAAAGCTTGTCACTTTGTTTAAACTTTCCTGTTCATCCTGCCCGCTACTGAGAAATGAAGCGCGGAGAGTACCTCTCCCTTTTCCCCAATTCGATGGCCGATCCATAGTTGCACCATTCTCATTTTCGGAATCACTGGAAGTTGTGCTATCATCAGTCTAAATAAAAATCTGGTTTACTTTCATGTTGCTTCGACATTCTACGATATAAATCTCTTTGTAATACTTTTTTTGCCATAATCGGCTTCCACATTATTTACTGTTGTTAAAATCTTGAACACTTATACTTGACGCTGATGACAAACTAGTTGCTGCAATAAAATAATTTTCAGAAAAATTATCAATTTCCTCGTAAATATGAGCCGAGACAATAGCAAATTCTTCGTGCCCTTCCGAGTTTTTTCTCAAGTCACTGTTCGCCTGAACGCAGGAGTTTTATACAATTGTGATTTTCATAATTGCACTAAAAAGTATTTGAAAATTCAAAAATCTTACACTAGGATATAACGAAAAGGAACAAGTTGCAGCATTAGAATCATCATCAGAATCTTCATCGACATGTTCGTAGTCAGGACTGAATTCGTCGTCGGACTCTGCGCTATTTTCAGTGAAATCCGTCTCCAAATTTGGGTTTATCTAAGTATCGAAGTCTTTTATTAAAAAATTTTACTTCCACTTCGCCCGAAAAATGAAATTTATTAACATGATCACAAAGCGTGGCTGTAGTTTACTGAATCAATAGTTCAAAAATATTTGAGGTCTACCTGATCGAATAAATATAATCGCGTAAAGATGGGATGAGCTATTGATTCCAGTTCTCGTTTCTTCTTCTTTATTACTGCTGTATCAGCTTTCTGAAATTAAGAAAATAAAATGCGTTTATAAGTATTTATCATCAAAAGTACACTGCTGTATATATAAGTATAAAAGTTAACTAACGTAATAACTGTTATACACACAATTGAATGAAAACAAAACAAACCTGATTTTTTTTTTTGGGGGGGGGGGGGCGGTAATAGGAGCAAGATCTCGAATAGATTCATGACGATATGAGATGATGACTGAACAAAATGTCGAGGGGTGCGGGACGGAAAACGGTGTGATAAGTGTGTGACTGTTTGAGATGAAGGTGTAATCCGTTGTTGGCCTTCTGCCGCATTTCGAAATTCACTTACTTGCCTTGTCATAATGATAAATATAAACTTCTTTGCAGTTTTGATGTGCTATCCAAACTTGTCAAAGTTGCTGAATAATGCCAGATTATACTCCATAAATCTTTACTACCCAATCGAAATTGCAAACTAATAACGGCTGCGTACTGTAGTCTCGGTGTAAGCGAAACTTCCAGTTCATTTAAACGCTGCGCCTCTAGTCTGCATCTTTGTTTGAATAGTTTACAGTCGCTTACAACTGAAGAATGTTCACTATAATTCCCTAGGCTTCCCTGGTTAACGAGGTAAAACACGACTCGTTATAAATCGCAGCAAACATCAGTAAAGGCATTCTAACTGAAGTGCAAAAATAATATTTTTTACCTTATTCAAATCTAGCCAACTGAGCGTTTCTGTACATAATTCCACTAAACGACTTTCTTCATCTTTTGTGATTTTTTGGTCAGCTTGTAAGTCTTGAGCGGATTGCTTAGTTCTTAAAGCTAAATCTTCAAGCTCATTCTTTGATTTATGTTGATTTTTTAATTCCTCGTCAGCCTGTTTAAACTTTTCAGCATCCGCAGTCTAGATAGAACATATATTTTCAATGAAACATATTGATTTTGTCAATTTTTGTTTCTTTTTCAACTCAAATGCAAATATTTTTGTGAAAACAATAATTTTATGTTAGCATGAATGTAGTTCTGTTATTTAACGACGGTAATAACTGTGTGTGGTCTAACTGCGCTTTTATGTGTTTGCCTGGGGTATATTTGGGACCAGGTCTCTGAGTCAGCGTTAATTAGGTATTTTATGAGTCATGTATTTGTACAACATAATCTACATACCATTCGAGCAATATCTTTTTCCGCCAGTAATCTTTTTTCCTCAAATATAGTAATTTTATTTTTTCGACCCGAATTCTTGTCGTGAGCGCTCACATTCAAAATACCACTTGAGTCTATTTCAAAGCAAAGTTCTACACTAGGCACTCCGCGCGGAGCTGGATGTATTCCTTCAAGTCGAAACGCTCCCAGAAACATGTTGTCGGTGGTAGCTGCACGCTCTCCTTGGTAAATCTAAGACACAAATTTTACAAAAAAATTAATTATCTTAATTGTATATTAAACTAAATACTTTCAACTTCTGAAATGTTCGAATCGAATAGTTTTAAGTTTTCGTATTTGATCAAATTTCGAACCAAAATAATTACAAAGTTTCAAGATTAGTCATAGTAATACAAATTTAATATGAATCTGATCTGATCAATAAAACACAACTTGAATTTACCCCCAATCTGCAATAATATCTTATAAAAATAACCAGGCTTGTCCATGGGACATATTTTCAGTCCCAATCTCATCCCATCCCATAGAAATTATGCTTGTCCCATCCAATCCAATCCCATCCCATGGGATTCCCATTGAAACAAAATTCAATAAAAATTGTTTAATTTAGTTTTAGCGTCCACTAAATAGGACTACATATACCAAGAGACATGCAAAACAACAACATTTACGGTCTTTTTCAACTTTGTATTCATAACTAGTCCATCAGCCCCTTCACGAAGTATATTTCTAATGCTGAATATATTTTGCTCTTTATGACTAACAAGAGAGCTATGCTCAAATATATGGACACGAATACATAACGAAATGTTTTACCATCATTTCCCCAAAAATCATACGGTTTTTGTGTCCCACGAGTCCCATGGAAATTACAAATTTGTGCTGTCTCATCCCATCCCATCTCATGGGACGTTTCGCATGAGATTCCCATGGGAATCCCATTTCCATGGACAACCCTGCAAATACCATTTCTAGAAATATTTATTTTCAAATTGCTTTTAAAAACAAATGGAAGACAGAATATTGTTATAGATATCTAGGTATCTGAAAAAGTTTTGACATCAATCAGCAGGAAATGTTTTTGATTTTAAATTAACAGCTACCAAGGGGAAACAAAAATGATTAATACGAGAAATAATTAGAAAATTTTCTATACTTATCTACTAAAACTATAAAATCGATCTTCAATCCAGTTTGTGGATGTTCGAAGATAAGTGATTAAGAATGCTTTCGCAAAATATTCGACATATCAACAATCGCCTACTTACAGAAATGGCCAGAGTTGTCTGTTGGTCACGCGCTGTTGTAACGTTTATGGTGCGTTTAGTTGGGATTTTTGTGTTTTTCATGATAACTGCTGACATGAAATCTCCATCTACTTCAACTCCGAGTGATAAAGGAACGATGTCGCGAAGAATAAACTAAACAAAAATAGTATGTTACATTTATGAAATAAGACAATTTAAAAATCCATGTGGGTCCATTTGCGTCAGCCACTTCAATATGGTAACAATAAAGTTTCAGAAAAAACAAACAGGATAATTTGCTGTTAATATTTATTTAACACTGTATAAAATATTGCTATATAAAACGGACATAATTGAAACAGTCAATCGCTTATTTGCCTTCACAAATAAAAAGTAACTGTACTGAAATTCATGCTTCAAATAAATACCTAATAACTAAAAATACTATTTTTATACTATACAAAACTAATATTATTATTTGTGTGACCGGAGTCGTGAGGTAACTCGAGAGGTCTTCAAGAAGCCACACATAAGTTAAATTAAGTAGGATTAACCTTACAGTTATTAATTTAGTAATCTTAGTAAATTTAAACGTTGTCTCCCGATTGATTGATAAATTACCTTTCCTAACTTTATGTTTTCCGCCTGCGCTGCAGCGCCATGTGCCACCGCCTCATCTGGATTAATGGTTTTATACAGAGTTTTTCCAGAAAAAAAATTTTGCAACATCTCGCGAATTTTTGGAATTCTCGTAGATCCGCCAACAAGAACTACGTCGTCAATCTGATAATAAATAGTTTTCAAATAGTACTTTCTGAAGTTTTGATCCTAAAGCAATCATTTTGTTGCCGATTTGAAACAAAACAATCTGACTCTCCTTAATTTCTAATATTCCATACCTTGTTTTTGTCCAACTTCGCTTCTAGAAGTGTTTTTTCAACAGTTTTAATTGCCTTTTCGAAGTAGTCATTATTTAGATCTTCGAATTTGGCTCTACTGAGAGAAACTTTAAAATCAATTCCGCTATGAAGGCCATCTATTTGTATCCTGCGAAGTTTACATCAACTGATTGTATTGTGCATTGTCTCAAAAAATTGAATAAACTTGATTTCATTCGTGTAATAGTATTTGGTTCAAAATGTCAACTAATTTTTCAAACTCATATGCCATATGGGTATTAAGGACCCTTTTCTTCGTATTAACACCTCCCGAAGATTTTGCGCAATACACTAATCGTTTATAAAATCTATAAAACGAATACTTGCAATAATTTTGTAATAATTATTTATTTTATGGAAATTGTGTATTGTTTCAGTAAATTAAATAAATAGGATTTCATTTGTGTTTGGATATTAGTTAAGAATATCAGCTAATTTTTGAAACTCATATCAGGTATTTATGTTTTTTCGCATTGAAACATTCCGAATCTTTTGCTTAATAGACTGATCGTATATCAAACCTATGAAACGAATGCTTGAAACAGTTTTGTTCAAAAATGATTTAACATCGTTTCATCATGATAAATATTGCAATGCAATATAGATAGTATCGGTTACACTATACCTAATAAAAAGTAAGTTTAAATGTAATTGTACTGTAACCAAACAAAGTGATTACTTTGCATATGTCGCCACTGATAGTTTTCTCTTGGCTGCTTCGCAAGCGACGCGTAGTCGACTCAATGCTCTTTTATTATCCATCATATTTGCACTGTGCTTTTCATTAAACATTTTGGAAAGGTAATCAACCATTCGATTATCGAAGTCTTCGCCTAAATTGAACAAATAAAACAAATATTTTTAAAAAAACATTAGCCTATCCACATGTTTAAAAAGAAGTGGTCAATTCCACTAGAAATTAAAAACGAAAAGTTTGAAAAGAGCATTTCGAAGCTTTCCCTATCAAAAGTGACAATACTTTATGAGTAAATTCAAGATTCAGAAATTTTAGATTGATTCAGTTTGTTTTTGAGGTAAACGGGAAATTATTTTTCAAATTGGTGGCGTGATAGAAAAAGATAAAAATTTATGACTTATATATCACGAAATATGCCGTGTTCTTCTGGCATAACTTACACATTAAACTTAACTCGAAACAGAGAATGAAATTACATAAAATCCTAAATTCGCAAGTGTATCGGCTCTATCTTATATGCTGTATAAACGATAGTAGATTTAGCAATAATTTTGATAATTCAAAAAAGATATTGAGATATTAAAATTATATAAAACAGGATCACAACGACATAAAACGTAATTTACCTCCTAAATGGGTATCGCCTCCTGTTGCTTTCACCTCAAATACATTATTTTTTATTGTCATCACCGTAACGTCAAACGTTCCTCCACCAAGATCAAATATTAAAATATCACGCGGGCCTCTATCCTGTAAGTTGTTGAAAAATGGCAACAATTTAGTAAATATACTTTACGCAGATCACTAAATCGTTTTGGTTCTTGGTATAAAAAAAATTATAAAAACCTTATTTTCAATTCCGTATGCAATTGCGGCTGCAGTGGGTTCGTTCAATAATTGAAGTACGTTAAACCCAGCTATTTCGCCAGCATGTTTAGTCTCTTTTCGTTGCGAATCATTGAAATAAGCAGGAACTGTTATAACGGCATCGGTGACTTTACTCCCAATATACGCTTCTGCAGCTTCTTTCAGAACACCAAGCACCATAGCGCTTATTTCTTCTGGATAGAAAGTAGTCACTTTGTTCATATAATTGACCTGTCAAATAGAATTATTATAATCGCATCACAAAACAATACAAAGAATACAAAAGTGTGTGGAAGTTTCTGACCTGGCATTAGCTAAATAAAATAGTAATAAATATTGCGGGTTAGAAATGAATAATGTTCACTCTCAACATATGTAAAAAACAAAAATGCGAGTCGATGTATAAAACAAGTCAACAATTTTTACCACAATAAATAATCAAATTCACTGAATTAGCGACTGAACCCGAATCCATTTATTTCAGAGAATAAAATAAAAATAAAGATGTTATACTTTGTCAAAATCTATAAACCAACTACTTTTGAAGTTAACTCAAGCATTGGCATAGCTTCAGCTTTGACTTTCACCAGCTGATTGATATCAATAATTGCCGAAATAATTAGATACAAATCATATTGGAACGAAATCATTATTATTTTCAAGTTTCTTGTCTTAATATTCTTGTTTCGGTATTATTGTCTACGATTGGCTTGTATTTGGAATGCTTTATGTCAAATTAAAAAAACTGAGCCTAAATTCTATATTCCATAATTGAAAGTTACTCTACCTGTATTTGTGGTTTGTTGTCTTTGTCGATTACTTTGAATCCAAGCAATTTCAAATCATTTTGGACGTTTTGGTCGTCGTATGTTCGACCAATTAAACGCTTGATTTCTGTAATAGGAAAAGAGATAATATATATGTATGAATACACAGTAAAGATTCTATAAACAAAATCAATTGGTGATTTGAATTTTAAAATAAAAATTAGCAACCTATAATTTTAATTTACTTCAGTTAACAATTATCGCTCCTTATTTCTTTTCAAGAACTGGTTAATTTGCATCGATAAAATAACATAATTAAATAAGATAGAGATACATTTGAGATAATGATTACAAAAGCATATGTCAATCAAACACTGATAAAATATCTTACGTAACAATGTATTCTCATAATTTAATGATGCTTCAGATTTTGCTGTATCACCAATAAGTCTCTCTGTATCTGAAAATGACACACACGACGGCGTAACTCTGCTGCCTTCATCGTTCGCTATGATTTCAACCTGTTATATTCGAATGTAAATACAATATTAGAATGACAGAAACGATATGAATGAGAACATGTTTTATTTGTGTTATTATAACAAGCCCATATTATCAATGACGATAGCTTCAGGTTTAAAACCTACTAGTTATTCTAAAATATCAATTAATGCTTCCAGAATTTTACCGTATTACAGGTGTTAGACGATCCGCATTGTGATACATAATAGAGCTCTACGCTTGTATGGCATAAATAATATAAAAGTTGACACAATTTTGGATGCCTACTAAGCCTACATTATAACGCCATAAGCCGAAATCGTCAGCAAGTATACGTATTTTGTACTAACTCAATAAAATTGGCGTACCCGATCGTTTCTGAAAACTGCCACACATGAATAGGTTGTGCCAAGATCGATTCCAATTGCTGTCATCTTTTTAGCGAATCCAAAAGTACTGAATCATACCCTGCGTTGCATAGCCTGAACTTACAGTCCTGAGTTACTTCCCTTTTTACAATACAATATACCCAGACGAACTATTTCGTGCTCCGAAGCAGCGAACCGCGTCGTTGTTTGCTCGAGTTGTTGAGACTAACGCCCCACCAACAAACCGCGATGGAGTCAAAATAAGGAGACCGGATTGAACCGGATTGCTCATTTGAAAACAGAAAACGTGATTTACGTAGTTTCTGAGGCAAGAAATAAAACGGGAAATGATCCTAAATAGTAAAGTGTTTTGGTAGAAAATATTCCAGAAAGTTTTCATTTTTTGTATATAGTTGTTAAAATCAGAATTTTATGTTGTGTCAAGCCTCGCTGATTTTATGGAATTATATTCATCTTGAATGAAATGGATCTGGTGTATTCATGTTGACTTCGCTTAAATTTGGTCTTTGCTTATCCCAAAATAATACAATTAACTAATGTCAATCTTTATGTAGCCATGCATGAAACAATCTGGAATGGTATATAAGGTATCTCATTTCTTCATATTGTCTTTTCTTTAACAATGAATAGTCTACTTTTGTAAGTTGTGACCTGTTCATCCAACTGTAATATTATTTACAAGTCGAGGTGTTGATTTTCTCATGCGTGAAACGACCATATATGAATTAATGTTCAAAATGCCTGAACGCGACAAACGGTGCATCACACCAATAGCTCCACAGCGGCACCAAGTATAGCTTATCCATTTTGGGTATTGAGAGAAGCCACCGATCAATAATACATTGTGTTTGCTTGTAATAATTGAAGATTTAAAATAAAAAATTAGACAAAAGTTAGTTTGGACATATTATTTCATGACAAAATGCCTACTATTTAGAACAATCTCAAGCTGGATGTATATTATTGGTATTCGTCACATAACGACAGCCACTATCTCTGTATTATCGTCACTTGACAAACAGAACAATAAATTCCGCAAACAACAATAAGCTCATAAGTTTTAATTTAAACAGGCGTCAGAATTATATGAGAAATCAAATATCTTAACTCCGTGTTAAAATTAACCCTTTACATATTGAATACTAAAATGATATCTGTTTATGAAATGCACTTTGTTTATTTTCCTTAAATTATTTTAATTTAATCGAAAAGTGGGACAGGACTTTTATTTTATTTATTTATATTCAAGTTATTAACTTATTCGTTGCCAAAAAAAAAATTTAACTATGTAACACTGAATTTGAATAATGATCATGAAATATCTTATGATTTTTTGTCGGTAATACTGAATAAAAATCTAAAGTTATTAGAAGAATGCGCTCAATAATCAAGTAATTTTACTAGGGGCTAAGCAGCGTCATTAAGTTAAATTTTAATTTATTACTAAGAATTTAAAGCCTATCTAGCTATAAATGTAATGAGTGTTTATATGCAGAACATACGTGAATCGAGTATACTTATAATAAAATTTCCAGTTTACCCAACTCCTGAAACGATTCTCGCGTGTCAGCAAAGTTTGCTGCTATATCCGAGCGACGCTTGGTAAACAGATTCAGTATTTACAAAGGTCGTATAAAGTATCAAACGACGGACGGGTAGCATCCTTTATTATCAGCGCAAACAAAGCACGAATACCCATTTGCCAGTTAAACATTTCAAAGAGGACTTAAAAGGAAAATAAAAGTGATTTTCAGTGATATTGAGGACAATGCAACTTTAACCATCCTTATGCATTTAACAGCTTCCGATTCTGTAAATGTCCTCTATACTGCAAAATGAAATATCCATGACAAAATCAAAATGGGCATATTGATATAGGATTGGAACGTTTAAACAACGTGTTCATATGCAACGAAATTATTACAGGCCACCTATTTAACTGTTGTGAGGGATAAAGGTCAATGAAATGAGAAAACCGTAATAATGTTATCTGATATTGATTATATAATACTTCATTCCTAACAAAGCTAAATTATAAATTTAAATTTAAATCATAAATGCCATCATTTGAAATTTAATAATTTCTAGTGTGTCTCATGGACTCGATAGATAGCGCGAGAGATTTACAAATATCGCGCTGCGGTAAATTTATACGCTTCAATAGACAGAGACGCGACCTGTGAAAACTATACCCGTCGACTGAATTGAAATGTTTGTTAATCGTTCCGCATTCGCGATTTGAATCATAGGCGAGTAATGTTGTATTTAATATAGAGATATGTACATCATGTATATAATGTAGAGAAGACGTGAAGCCAATTCATATAAGGAAAAGTTTGGTGAGAAATCTATGTGGTATTTAAAATATGTATATATAACCTATATATGTTATCAGGGAATCCAAAAACTTTTTACGGCTGGAATAGCCAATGTTACTATACTGAGCAGATAATGTATGCTCTCTAGTTACAGAGAGCACAATTGCTTGGTTACAATGAGCAAACCATATGTTCTATCATAGTAATATTCTATTTTTATAAGTGCAAATTTGATCAATAGTGCAGAATTTGTATTTTATCCTGAATATATTTCTGAATTTGATACATATAATTGTATAATATTATCGTAGTATTGTCGATAGTTGTTGCCGATAGGAAAATCTTAAGATCTGATATGAAATTCCGTAGAGTACGATTGGATATAGGTTAATAACTAGGACGTTACAAAAATTCGGTTTTTGTAGAGCTAGGGCTCTAATTCTGCATGGTTTGGTACATATAACATCGCTCCAGAAGTATTTATACCAATATAGAGGTAACTAATTTTTTTCGCCTACTGTACATCAAGTTATCAAGTTGTGTAAAGGGATGGAAGCCTATGAGGGGGGCATTAACTTAACTAAAACAGATAGTTTCCGGACTTGTAATAAATTTAAAATAGGGAAAATCGAAATAAAATGATGGTCTAACTCTAACCCGGTACAGATATTACGGGAGTACCCATATAACTATGTATGATAAAATCATGCAAGAGTGGTCACATTAAAACATTAAATATGCCGAACATCCAACCTCCAAATTTTGTTTATGGAAAGTTTAATGTTTTTTTTTTTAATTTTCAGACTACACATAATAATACTTTGCATAAATGATCATCAGGCATTTTGATCATATATATGGCATAATTATGTGTTTTGTGCGCACTCTGACAACCTTATTTTGAAAGATAAAATATTGGGTAGTTGTTCTTTGGGATATACTTTTAGGATTTTATGACTTAGTTGGCGCCACCAAAATGACAATTGTATCAATAAGCATTTCAACATTTAATTTTAATTATCTCCAATTGTGGACTTTTGTAGCTATAATTTTATATAATGTTTCAAAAAAGGAGTATGTTCTCAGATAAGATTTCCAAAGTGTGGATATGATATATCTCATCATGAGTTAACCAACGTAATTTAGCAACTCCTCCTTGCAGGCATTCAATATCTCCACTAGACTAAGCCTTTGATGTAATTTTATTCAGACTCATCCAGTCAAGTAGAAATTGCTCATAAGAAAAATGGCGGCAATTGGAATTGACCTCGGTACAACATTTTCTTGCGTTGCTATTTGCAAGAATGGAATAGTGAGTATAAGATTATTTTTTCGGCGCGTACTTCAAAAAGTCAAAATCTTGTCTTCAGATTTTCATCACTAGGAGTTCTACAATAAAACTCAGCGTACTTCTTCTCTTTCTTATATATGATTGCTCTACTTTAAACATTTTATTTTAGTATACCTCTTCGATTTTATCTATAAGTCGTTTTATTGAAATATTGTTGTTATTGTTCTGTTACTAATTGGGCGGTGATTGTTGCTGTATAAATCAAAAATCAGCCTTTTACATACACCAATATACTTTTAATTCTTCGTACAAAAAGGTGGTGTCACGAAGGAAGTTACTCTAACATCTTTCAGAATTTAAATTCGGAGCACTTTTTATCACGTATGGGGTTATTTATTTTGTCATGTCCGCACTAGCTATCTGCTCAGCTGAGACCTCAGCAGTGGCCATGATGGTCATTTGTATCAATAAATTTTAACATCCATCTTATGTTTCGTTTTTATTTCTTAATTTTTCCTTTCTATTGACATTTTATTTACTATTTATTTACTATTTACCAATTCCAGGTGCAAATTATACCCAATGAACACGAAAAACGGTTGACACCAGCATATGTGGCTTTTACCGAAGAGGAAAGATTATTCGGAGACTCCGCAAAACATCAAGCTCCGTTGAACCTAGCGAATACTGTATATAGTAAGTGCAACATTGAAAATAAAACAAAGAATGAATTATGTTTGAATTATTACCTAATGACGGATTTTATTTTGAATTTTTTTTTTCTGAAAATTAAAAAAAGAAATAATGTAACAGCACTGATCTTTTCAATAACTACAAAAGGATTATACTCGAGTGCAGAAAATATGGTTTAAATGTGTACGTAATTTCTTACTATATCGATATTTCAATTGCGTCTTCGTTTTATCAAAGTCGTGTACAGGGTGTCTCAAAAGTAAGTATACACTTTTAATTTTGATTTGCTTTTCAGGTACTCATCATAGAGCGTTCATTTTTTCAGGGAACATAGTATGGATAAGTAGTAAAATTTAGATATTGTTTGTATTTTTCAACAACCCACAGAATGACAAGAAGACTAACCCCAAAAATGAGAAGCAAATTGGTGATCGGCATGGAGCATGTAAATCAGTAAGGCAAACTTATCTCCTCTTTAACAGAGAATTTGAAACTGATTCAGCTTCCTCAAAGCATCCGCTGCTTGGTCTTCCTGATCTTACAGATCAAGTTTCCATGAATTGCGTAATTCTTTGTCGTGAAGTGCTGATTGCCTCAATGTTTTATATGCTTCTTGCCAAACAGCAATTTTCACCCCATTTCTTGGGTCAATCTTCTTGTCATTCTGTGGGTTGTTGGAAAATGCAAACAATACCTAAATTTTACTACTTATTCACTATGTTTCCTGAAAAAATGAACGCTCTATGATGAGTACCTGGAAAGCTAATCAAAATTAAAAGTGTATACCTATTTTTGAGACACCTTGTATAGAGAGCATAAACAATAAATAATTGGGTCGATTCAAACAACAAACATTTGTAACGATTAAATTCCGTTAGTGTGAGGGATTCCAATGAGTACACCAATTGAAAGTAAGAGTACACTAAAAATAATAATAAAAATCCTAAGAAGGTCTTATTGCACGCGCGCGATGAAGTAATCTAGTATTTCAGGTCCACCGGTAGCACAGTCCATTTTATGTCGTCCAGCAGAGATTTTGTTTTGTTTGTTGATTTACCCAACATATTCAGTGACTACATTTTATTTTGCCACGCTGTTTCGCCTAAATAAAAATACTTTGGAATTATCTTTTGATTACTCCCTAACCACAGCGGCGTGACTGTTATGAAATTTATTTGTAACATCTTAAATATCATAGCGGGTGCTCAGATTTTCACGAAGATAATACGTTCTGGTGAATTTCATTTGAATCATCTCCGCAAATTATATTAATCATAAAAACACGTTTCTATTTTGTTTCCAGTTGATACATGTTTACTGTTTTTGCTCCACTGTGTAAATAGAATGTAAAAAACATTTACGAAATTAACGAAAATGAGATGTAACTATTTATGCTGCAAATATGACTTAGTCAGGGATAACTTCAACTTTTGAAATCATTAGCTAATTTTTTTTATTTTTGAAGCTGATATTTTGAACCAATTCTTTTTATACTTCTACAGACATCAAACAAATAATCGGAAGGTTATATAACGATCAAAAATTGAAACAAGACAAAAAATATTTGGGATATACTATCGAACCTGACAGAAATGGATATTGCCAAATACCAGTAAGAAATTTTGCGATTCTCTGATATCAATTTTTTGTAATATCGAATAGAATCTGCTTGAAATAAATGTAGATTATATTGTCATGGTAAAATACATATTTTATTGTCGTTTTAAAAATCCTCCATTTTGGCATCACCGAGTAATTAGGAAAAGATGAAAACCTTTCCGTATTTATTAGTTACCATAATGCTTGATGATGAATTTAATGATTTTTGAGGTTATATTACCTAGTTGTCCTTCAGCGCAAAAAGTTTTTTCTCTCAATACCTGGCTTTGTCATTGCGCTCAATTTCAGGTATAAGTTTAATTTTTTCATCTAGAATTCGGGAATTTTTATTTGAAGAAGCATAACAATTGTAAAGTTTTCGTTTACATATTGGACAAACGAGCCCAATTTTTCTACCTACCCAATTTTCAGGTTTTTAGATTCCCATATTTACTTGAATTGTAGATTTGATTCAAAATTAAGTAAATATTGCTACACTTCTTTGGACATAGCATCAAATTTATTACTTTAGGATCTAGCATTTATATTGACTTAAAAATCACTTTCAATATTAAAAGTGAAAAACTCGCATACCGGTATTTCAAAATTTCACTTTTCCAGATATCTAGCTACGGAAAGCAAGTAGAATTATATCCAGAACAAATTACGGCAATGACAATTGGTAAAATGAAAGACATAGCAAAAGAACACATTGAGGAAACAGTATCTAGAGCTGTTATTTCCGTCCCCGGATTTTTTAACGAGGCGCAGCGCCAGGCTACAATAAACGCTGGTAGGATGGCTGGCCTTGAAGACGTCAAGCTCATAACCGAACCAATGGCATCAGCGCTGGCATATGGGCATGATAAACAGGTTATTAAAATTCTATGAAAAATTATATCAAAAAGGCAAAATATTGTTATGTTATTAATTAATATCACACTATTTTCATTCTCGCCTAAAAAATTGTAATAGCGTGTTTACTGATGATGAAATGGAAATTTTTGATTGGATTTGGTAAACAAAAATTTTCAAAATAATAAATTTTATTTTTTATATAAAATATATGTCATTTCTTCAAAACATCAAAGGCAATGATAATTTATAGTGAAATAAATCATAATGTATAATACAAAATTTGGAAACGCATTTAGGGATATCAATTGCAATTTTTTTATTGACACACATTTTTTTTCTTTCAGCTAAAAACAATCGAAAACATTTTAATTTTTGATTGTGGTGGAGGGACAACCGAAATAAGTCTTGCAAAAATAACAAGCAAAGATGTTAAAATTATATCTACGTTTGGAGAAAATTTTGGGGGTCAGTTTATTTTCAAGTTGTTTGATTTTTCTTTCATTTTTTTTCAATAAATTGAGCTTATTTTATGAGTATGCGAAAAAAGGCTCATAATCAAATATTAATAAGTTGCAAGGAGAGCGGATTAATTTAGGGTTTTCAAAAAAAAATGAAGATCGCAAAAATATACCAATGCTTTAAAATATTATTCGTCAATGAAATTATGTTTTCCTTCTTGTTATTCGGCCATAATTTAATCGTGTCCAATATATCCAATATATTTTGTTTTGTTGAATCACGATGGATCAAAATAACCATTGTCTTGGATTAGTTACGATATTCATCAGCAAACAAATAGGGATTATTAGAGGATAGGGTAACCTTTTTCTGTGAAAATATTTGAAAGTGATAAAGAGTTTATAAAAAAAATGCATACATTAAAAAATAGGTTTATCGCGAAAGAATGGATTCGTTCATAATTTTTGTATTCGAAAGCTTGCGAATGATGGATCTTTTACAAAAAGCCCTCGCCGCTAATGTGGAATTTGAAAAAAAAAAAAAAAAAAAACTGTCGTGTATTTATTTTGCAATTGCGCACAAAGTAATTAATTGACGACCTATCCGAGTCTCTTCCTTTATTAATTTAATTGTGCGTCGACAAAAGAACATTACGACGAAATGTTACGACCAAAAAAGTGTTTAAACTTTCGGATATCTAGTTTTGATTCGTATTTTTGCGATGTTAATGATTATACAAATTTGATATGTTCTTGCAACACTGGCTTTGCTTTATCACAATGCTACCACCAAATTTTATTTTCAAGATATCAACGTTAGAGAAATCCCCAGATCTGCTAGAGAATATCAAAACAATAATAATTGATTGTACAGTGATACCTCGATAGTCAACCAGTTCATTCGAGTCAAAAATGCTGCGGTATTCCAACTGAAATTAGGATCTCAAATACCCGAACCGAGCGGAGCTCGCGGCCGAGTGAAATGACGCCACCCGAAAATGAGCTCGATCGATCCTGGCATGCCGTTGGAAGCTTCCGAATCGTCAATTCGTCCTAATATTAAGCGTTTAGTGAAGCAAAAATGTTTCCAAATATCACTAGGAAAAACATGTATCAAATGTTCTATTTTTATTTTATGCTGCAATATAACATCAAATTACCTTCAGCTGTATTGATGCAGTTGTTTATTTTTGTTGAAGAAAATTAATAGATATCATGCGTGCGGGCCGCTTACTCATCGGTACTCGACTGATAAAATGGCTGGCGATAGCAAATGGGTTCGCCCCCCCTTGTTTTAAATGAATAATCAACATGTGTGATAAAAAAGATATTTTAAATTTTGTATGTATCTAGGCCAGTGGTTCCCAAACTTTTTCGAGTTGGGACCCACTATTTATTACCACAGCTTTTGGCGACCCATTTAAATTTTTATGACATAACACAGAACACAGCAATGGCTAATCATCGCTAAACTATCGTGTTTCCCCGAAAATAAGACCTGGACTGAAAATAAGACATAATTTGAATTTTGAAAATGATTTTAATTAAACCCTACCTTTGAAATTTGAAATGTGTGGGAGAGGAAGGGTTCAATGACCTGAGTGAGATAAGGTGAAGATTGCACCACTATTCAAGATTACCACAATTATGATATTTGACACTTGATTTTTGTATAGAAAATACAAATAGAAACAATGGATGTCGAATTTTATATAATGTTTATTGGAAAATCTCGTGATCTTCTACAATGTAGGGTTATTTTTGATAAATGAACACAAAAGACCTCTTCCAAAGAAACATAATGTTATTCTTCAAAAGAAAATAAATCTAAATCCTATTTAAATTTAGGGTGAAACACAGTAAGAAGTGCTGTCCAGTGTACAAAACTGCTGTGCGTAAAAAAGCCACATGGTCATTCTTTGTGTAGCAAATTTTTGTTCCTTTGAGAAGATCGTAAAAAGTACATATTAGAATTTCACAGACAGAACTTTCACATATAAGAATTTAAATTCAATTTAATTTAATTTTTTTTTTTTGAAGATTTGCGTATTCGAGTCGCCACCGATCCTAAAAACCAGTGTAATTAATCAAAGCTTTCCACATCTTTTCACGACCCATTAAGATTCCTTTTGCGACCCACCAGTGGGTCGCGACCCATAGTTTGGGAACCGCTGATCTAGGCTATGTGTATTATTTCTTTAGACTATGTGCATAGACACAACTGATAAAAAGAACATTGGCTTATTCATCTTAGTCTTTTCAAACAGGTGATGATTTTGACAACCGATTGGTTCTGAAGTACGGTAAAGACTTGGGAATTGAAATTCACGATAAAAAAGCAATAACTAGACTGAGAAACGCTTGCGAAAAAGCAAAACAAAGTCTGTCAGCAGCTTCTCGCGCTCGGTAAGCTCATTTATTGCTAATAATTGCTAACAAAAAATGAATTTTATGATTGGTGCTTGTCCAAATACTTGAAGCATGTAATGATTTTAAGATCGCATTTATAAAGTCTGATAAATATTGGTCCCAATAGGAGGTAACAAACGAAATGCAAATTCAATTAGGTATTCTCAATGTTTTGCAAGAAATATTTCTGTACTAGTTTATGTCTGATATATGTCAAACAATTTAAATGCGATTTTGTTATTAGGAAACATCATTGATATTTTAAAATCCTTCAGACATATTAAAGCTGAATTGTAATTTATTTTAATTTTATTTTTCAATTAATTCAACTTTTTTATGTGCAGGATAAAAGTTGACAATTTATACAATAATGAGCCGTTTGAAAGCACTATAACACGAGAAGATTTTGACAAAATAAACGAGGAATTGTTTGAAAAAGTTACTTCCATTGTTCAAAAAATGTCGAAGTTTTTGACAAAGAATCGTCATAAGGTTTCCATTCTGTTTTTATAATTTTTGTTTGCACAAGGTTTCGCTAGTAAAACTGAAATGCCGTCAATAGCGTTCGTCATTCCTTATTTGAAAGAATGCTTATAATTTTAATCGAAATAAATAATTAAATTTAAAATTTTTATTGCAATATAATTCAATCGCTGTTAAACGCTAATATTTGAGAAAGTTGCCTCCGACGTTTGTTATCATACTTCTAAGAATAGTTTAACAGATTATTTTTTATTATAAATATTAGGTTGATGAAATAATTCTCATCGGAGGATCAACGCGTATCCCAAAAATACGAAACATTCTTCAGGATTCTTTTAACGTCAAACACTTGAACAGAACAATTAACCCAGATGAAGCTGTTGCATACGGTGCAGCAGTACATGCGGCTAATGAATTTACTAACTGCAAGGTATTTTATTGGTTAATAGTTTTGCTGCGAAAATAAGCAGAGTATACAGACTAGTCCACGGAACGTATTTTTCCGTCTCATTCCATCTAATACTGTGGCAATTTTTACCCGTTCCACTCATCCCCATTAATGGAACGTTTCGTATAGAATTCCCATTTCCAACTCTGGAAAATCACCTAAATAATGAATCTATGTATAGGTGTCCCAACACAAAATGAAAATAAACAATAGATGTAAACAGCTCATGGGAAATAAAAAAAAATGACTTTGACGTTTAAATTGCCAGGAGAAGTAAAATGTCTGCTGTCCCATTCCATCTCATGCGAAAGACAATCCAGGGCCATGTCTGAGAATACATATATATATAGTATTACGCTAAACAAAAACATATAGTTAACAAATGTTGTATAGTGGAATGCCGTTTTAAAATAATTCCAGAAATAAAATATCGAATTTGTGAAAATTGTTTTAAAATTTGTTTGCAAATATTGATTTTTAAATTGTTCTTCTGTAACTCTTACTTAGTCTTTCGTACTTTAGAAAATAGTCCAGGTTCGAGAGATGACTGCTTTGAATAATAGTAATACAGTACCTGAAAATAAAAAACGTAAAATAGAAGAAACGAGTCAAGCAAAATTGACGGAAATGGTATGTAAATGGGCTACTCAAGTATAAAGATAGTTACGACGAGTAAATAATGTTTATGTTAAGTTCTGAAATATTTTACATGTTGTAATGTTTTGGTGGTGCTCCCGAAGTATGTGCACCAAGATGGCTCACAACTTGAACATACTATGTGTACCAGGTTTGGGTTCAGGTTGTGCGCCATCTTGGTGCACATGTTTTCAAAGCGCCGTTTTGGTTAGTATTAGCCATTAATATTTCTGAAATTTAAAAAAAAAAACTTTTTTCAAAACTACATTTTCACAATTTTGAAAAGACAGACGGATATGTTTTATTTATTTTGCCGAATCAGATTATTAGCAAACTATATAGTTCTTCTAGTATACCGTGTTCTAAACCGTAACATTAATAGCGAAGGGGTTATTCTGATAGGTTGAAGCAATGAAAACCGCTTTTATTTATGAATTTTTCATATATAACTTCACAATTTTTCTTTAACTCAAATATTTGCCCTTGTTTCAGTTGCAAACCTATTTCTTGCTTGTTAAAAAATTTATCTTTTTGTTTTTCTCTTGAGACTCAAAAAGTGCTGGAATTTGATAAACATGACAAAATGCTCAGGGAAGAAAGTAATGCACGGAATAATCTCGAGAAATACGCTTACAGTACCAAGAAAAAGGTTCACACGGATAAATACAAAGACAAGTTATCTGCTGAAGACAAAAAAAAAATTTGCCATGAATGTGATCTAGCGATAACATGGCTTGAAACAAATAAAGTAAGTATGAATCAAATGTATATATCAAATGATTCACAACATGCTTACTAATGCTTTCAATATACGACGAAAGTTTTTATTTATAAAATTATGCCGCAGAGAATTTCTTGTATTTTACTTTACGTTGGCTTAAAGCAGGGTTCATTAATCTATTGTCGTCAGAAGCATGGAATTTGTACAAATCGCGTTGTTTGGTAACATGGTTTAGCTAGAGGTATAAAATGTAATTTTTTTTTATTTTGAAGCGGAAAAAAGTAGTAGAAAAAAAACTTGAAGAACTGAAGCAATATTGCGAAGCGATATTTGATGGAAAGTCAGCAACAAAGGTCGAAATTAGATGATTTTTAGTGCTTGATACCCTCCTACATCACTATTGTAACATACGTTTTTTTCTTATTCGTAAAATGTGTAAATATTGATTCTGCATTGTTGATTTAAGTTGGCACTATTAAAAAATCTAAAACTAAAAATTATTTAATCGACAATATTCTCTTTGGCAGGACAAATATGACGTAAGTGGTTACGGCCATTTCACTGTTTGATTAGGTTATAGAGTTTTACAGAAGCCTAGACTGCAAATCAATTTAAACATGTTATTTTTAAATATAAAGATTTTCATAACAAAAGAGCTTAATTTAATTTAATGATATATATATTGGTTACATTTGAATTTGATAGTGGGTGTTACTCTTTCAGACGTTTATTAAAGTTTATTTTAGTTATAACAACATGAACGAAATTTATTTGTATTTTTAATATCCATAAATTCTGTACCATTTTTTCTAATTTAGCAAGTGGTAAAGAGTTCATCATATGTGAGATCGGAGCGAAGTCCACAAGGTATCGTTACAAGAAAAATGCAGGTGATTACAACGTGCAAACAATAGTTGTCATATTAGATTGCTTTATACGGTACTTTCGTAGTGTTTGTTCTAGTTAGGCCATAATTTTATTCCGTTATTTCTTATTAGTTTTATTACGAGTTCGGGGATTGTCTGTCTTATCCAAGTGCATATACCCCTTTCCTATAGGTTTCAGTTCCTTTACAAAACTTGAAGTGAGGAAGGTGACCAAAGTAGTTATACCTCCATGTTGGTACACGCACTTTTGGAGCGCCCTTTATATAATTTTAGGAAAAGCAGAACTTTAAATTTGACCTTTTTTAAATCCTTGCAAAACAGTCAACTCGTGCAAAAAAATCTACTAAACAAGAACTGGAGAAATTTAACGCAATCAGCGAGCTTCAGAAATATGTTCAAAGTGTTCAATCCCATTCAATATTCGGAAAGTTTGAGGAATTTATGACGTCGGACATCAAAGAAAAAATAGATATTAGATGTCGTGAAATAGAGCAGTTTTTTAACGCAAGTCAGGTATGTTTTCCTCACTATATCACCACTACCGTTTTGTTGTATTCTACTAGGGAAATGGCGTTGATTCTTTGCAAATATGGTTGTCAAAAATATATAATTAGAGATTCTTAGTTTGGTTTATGCAAAATAAATTTGCGTATCATGTTCAGGATATGGAAGTCAAAGTGATAAATGGCGAAAGATTGCAATTAGAAATATTTGTTGAAAGTATACTGCACAGATTACAACATAACGAGGTAAATAGCATTTTGAATAGTTTTTTTATTAAAACAATATAGGAAGCTTATATATTTTTTTAAATGTTCATAGAGTTCAATAAAAAATGTTTCACTTATTTCAATTTGATTCATCAAAATTCTAAACTTTCTAAACTTTTTATTTCACTATTGTGTGTTCCACCAGATAATAAACAAGATAAATGAAATTAATTTCGAAATAGTAGAAAAGGTACATAAAATACAAAACAGTTTTAACAAGTTTTTTTAATTTTCAAAAATTTCCTGAAATATTATAACTTTGGAAAGTAAATTTAACGTATATTTAGATGATCCGTCTACAGGAAGTTGACAAAAAGAAGAACGACGAGTACGTAAAATTTCGCGAATATATATCTTATCTCCGGAAGTCAGAGGAAGGACAAAAACCTGACAAATTGACGTTTCAGTGCATGAATGACATTAAATATGAATGCGATAAAGCGGAACAATGTCTTGAAATAAATTACGTAAGTATAAAATACTCAATTCTAAATTCTATATTAAATATTCTTTTATTTCAATTTATTTTGTATCCCATATGACTTGAAATTTGATGTAGCACATCGAAATATAAGAGAATAAGTCACTAGTTTATTAAATCAATAGCTAGATCAAAGAATTAGTCAGTTTTTTTGTTTCCAGGCGGCCTTGCCAACTGTGCATTTGGCCTAAATATTATTTGTGATCTTTTCAAGTTTTGGCAGATTTGAAAAATATTTTACTCGGGTAATTTTGTTGAAAAAACATTGCCGAACCGTAAATTTTTTTTTTCCAAATGATAGTAGTTTCCTACGCGTTACGTGGTTCTTTGTGCAGGGCTTTGGTCATAATAAAAAAAACATAATACGTCGTATAAACGGTGTATCCAGTGACTAGATTTAAATTTAAAATTAAACGATTCTGTTGATATATATTATAGTATGAAATAAAACAAAAAAAAGGTCATTTTATTAATAATCAGTATTGTTTATTTTGTTTTTTCAGAGTTCAGTTTCAGTGAAAATAATTAAATCCAGACACACGGAACTTCGAGTATGCGTTGATGGAATTAAACGAAGATATGAAAAATTAAAAAAGGTTAGTGTAATTAGAAAAACACCAGGATTCAGTGTTTTAGAATAATTTTCAGCATAATGTATAACAGTCTGTAACAGATTTGAACCATCCAATTTATTGGGTTTAATAATTATCGATTTCGTTCAATTTTTGCCAATATATCATGAAGTTCCATACCGATGAAATGAATAGCTAATATGTTATATAATTTTACATTATTAACCACAGTGATTTTACAATAATGGAGCATGGGAAATAAAGTTCACTTCAAAGGATCATTCATATTATAAACACACAAATATTTGTTGCTTTTCAAATTTATGCTCTTGCATGGCCATTGGATATTCATAAAGATTTCTATGAATAATGAAACTGTTATTACAGATTGAAAATCGCAAAGAAGTTGAACGCGATGAGTCTTACAGTAAATTAATAAAGTTCATCAATCAAGTAATCGAATATGTTAATTCTAAAAAGGGTGAATCCGATATGAAAGATAAATATCTAGAAAGCATGTACCAGAAATGTATGAAAACACAACATTGGATTCATGAGAATTACGTGAGTAATAATGTGAAATATAACTTATGAATCGATTTCACTTCATTTAATATTTTATTCCTTCAGTTTAACTTTGTTTAATTACGGTTGACAAATCATTCACAACCATTTTCAGATAGTTAAACTGAAAGTAACATCCTGTTTGTATTTTATGAAATGGTGCAACATGCTTTTAATGATTTTTAGCATGAAATCACATCAGGCAAAATAAATTCTGAAAAACTCGAACTACAAAAAAGGGTTAATGGCATTTTGAGTGACTGGAAAGCTAAAAAAGAGGTAACAATTTGAAATCTTCTCTTCGAGTAACCATGCGTGGCATAAAGTTTAAATTAGATTATATATGAATGGATAATTTTTAGAATTAATGAAATTTTGCATAGGATTTATTGGAAATTTGCTTAGCGAGTATAAAGTACGGCGCTCTAGAGGTATGTGTACCAATATGGAGGTAACTAATTTCGTTCGCATATTTTGCATCAAGTAGTATAAAGGGACTAAAACCTATGGACAGAGGGTATATTCACTTGGCTAACACAGACAGGTCCGATCTCGTAATAGAACAAAAATAGGAAAAATCGGAATAAAATTTTGGCCTGACCCTATTCTGGTCTACATACTACGTGAGTACCTAAAATACAGTGAATCAGGAAAAACATTCGCAAAAGGCCTCGTACATAACGTAAAACGTCAGATTTCTCATTAAGATAACTTTTATTTTAGTTTGTAAGTGGAGTCATTTTAAAATTAAAAATAAACAATAAAATAATACTGAGTAATTGTAAATTATTTCTCGTAAATGTATGATGTAATATCAAAATATTTTTCTAAAATATTTCCAATAGATTTCAAATAAAATCCAGGAAATTTTAAAACAATGGGATGCAGAATATGCAAATCTTTGACATTTCTTAGTCTTAGTTCGTCAATCTATCATGACTGACAAAAATGGAGTGGTTATATAACAGATTGTACATATATAGCAGGAGTGGCCAACCTGCTTTCGAACGCGAACGACTAGATCAGCGTTTCCCAAACTTTTTCGGCCACGGAACACTTACACTTTTGATCTCGCCTCGCGGAACTCCAAAAAATGAAACAATAAATTGATAGACAAAACCGGTGTAATGTAGCGGTTCCCAATGTAGCGGAGTTGCTGAATGCGCCGCAAAAACTTACAGAATTGTGTTCAACATGCTTAAAATATGATTGAATATTTTACATATTGCATTTAATATACCTGTTTTATTGTTTCTTAGTTTAAATGCTGTGTATAAGAATCAATTCAGTCATTTTACAATTCTATGTCGTTTACTTTCCATTACGTAATGTTTGCCTCTAATGTTACGTCTAATGGAGATAAAAGTACTTTCCGCAATTTCGCGAGCTCCAGACCTGCCGTTTATTTATTTTCTGAATAGAGTTTACCAAAAATGATTAATTTTTTCAGCATTTTAAAGTAGAACCAGGCAGAGATGGAGAAAAAACAGTTGACCTTTTGCCTTTATTCTTTAAATCTACTTGTTTGCCTATAGATAAATCAAAAACATTTGATAATGAACTTAACAGTCAACAATCTGGGCCGACGGTTAACGAAAATGCCACTACTTCGCCCTAGTTATTAGTATTTGTCTACAGTTAGTCCACTTTAGGCCGACGATGACGCGATATAGAACGGTCAGTTTGGCGACAACTTCACGATTCTTAAATCGTCATGGTCCTCATGGCGACCATTTTGAGACGTATTTAAGATTACTTTTCTACGGAACACTTCGAAGACGCTTTGGGAAACGCTGGACTAGATCGACAAATTAGCTCGCGATCGACTGATCGGTAATAAGATCATACAAAGACACGTATGAGTACTAAATATTCAGATAACTTCGCATAAGCTTACAAAAAATTCTACGACTGACAATAAGCTCGGCTCTGTGGAACATTACTTTCCCTCAATTGGTTAACTGGATTATAATTTATGTAACTGTACCGGAGTAAATGTTTTATTATGTATTGAAGATTCATTATAATTGTACAATTCAGATATAAAGACTGTCTAATGTTTGGACTTAAGTATGGGGGAAGAGTCGCAGCCAGGATTTGGAAGTGGGGGAGTCAATTCATTCGGTCACGATCGCTTCTAGAGACAGACTTGGCGATCGACCGGTCGATCACGATTGACGTGTTTGCCACCCCGGGTATATAGGGTTAATATTTATGTATAATTGTACTATAGAATTTTCTGTACTTAATTAAAATCCAGGAAAATGAAAAAAGATTGGATGACGAATATTCGAATCTCCGCAACTATATCACATCAGTACGCCAATCTGTGGTGTATGAAAGAAGAAAAGACAAATTACCATCAAAATTTATTGATGATATCTATGACGAATGTAATAAGACAGAAAAGTGGCTTCACGTAAATCAGGTACGGATTTGATAAATAAATAAACGAAAATGTCACTTTAATTTAAATAAGTAATTAAATTTATTGAAGTAATTAAATTGATCGCTGAAGAATGATCCCAATAGCAATAATAACAAAGCGATAAATCCCAGAATCAAAGAGCATTTTTTTGAACCTATCGAAAAAAACTACTTTTGAATGATTTTCATTTGAGAAATATTTTTTGTTTTTATTTCCAGAGTGAGATTTCTGTTGATATGATTATATCGAAAAGAACCGAATTGAAAAAGAACATTGGAAAAATTAAGATGGATTTTAAAAAATCAAAAAAGGTTTATTATTAATATTTCTAAATTTTGTATAACTGGAAATGTACACGGAGTACAGTCGCACGAACAAAAATTCAATTCAAATAAGTTTATTTCACGCAAGTTCGATTAAGTACTATTATATAATAATTATTTCTATTTAATTACGGCTGAATTTTAGGAAATTTCAAAACATTGGGATGAAGTGTATGCAAATCTTCAGAAGTTCATTGCCTCAGTTCGTCAATCTATCAATACTGACAAAAGAGACAGTTTAACATTGAAGTTTGTCAGCGATAACGAATTAGAAGTCCGAAATATTGAAAGATGGCTCAAAACTTATTCTGTAAGTGTATATTTGAAGCAAATTAAAAAATGATTTTTTCATTTTTAATGAATAAATTTACATAATGTAATATTCAATTATACTTTTGTAAACATGTAAACATAAAACATACAATAAGCCGATTATTTCCACTTTGAAAATATTGCTTATAAAGCAATGTCGAGAGTGAAAATCTATCTTTCTAATTCCGGGAATGCGACCGCTTTAAATTATTAGGTATTAATACTTACCGCATCACTGTGTAAAGACTAATGTTCACAATAACTTTTATTCCCAGGGTCAAATACCTGCTGAAATGATTGTATCTCAACACGAAATATTGAGGGCAAATTTAGAAAAAATCAAAAAGAGTTTTGAAAAACAGAAGAAGGTTTGTAAGATTATTTTATCGTCTGCCATCTATGATTTCTATTGGTCAAGATGTTAATTGTCTTTTACGTATTATAATTCAATCGCAAAATTGTCAATTGGATTACTTCAGTAGGTAATAATAAGACTGGTTTATACATAGCATTAGGTATTTTATTTGTATAACTCTAAGGCAGGGGTTCCCAAACAGCGGCCCGCGGGCCAAATCCGGCTCGCGTAACGATTTGAAATGGCCCGCCGAGCTTGAGTGAAATAGTGTGCAACCGATTTTGTTTCACCTTTTTGCATACTAGATAGCGCCAAGTGTTACGCCATTATTACACTTTAAGCACGAGTTTATCGTAACAATTCAATTAAAGCGTTATCTGAGTTATTCGTACCGGTATTATGATTACATAGGGCAGTAATTTAGTTATGAACCATAAGAGCTTAGATATGTCACGCACTTTCGGGCGCTACACTCTTCCGGCCCGCGAACATGACTCCGATTCAAATTTTGGCCCGCGGCCAATGAAGTTTGGGAACCCCTGCTCTAAGGTATATAAACAAGGTATTTATTTAAAATCTAGAAAATTGAAAAAAGATTGAATGAAGAATATACAAATCTTCGCAACTATATCACATCTGTCCGCCAAACTGTACCTGGTGGTCAGAAAGACAAATTATCAATAAAATTCATTAATGCTATAACAAATGAATGTGATAAAGCCGAACACTGGATTTGTGTAACAACGGTATGAAGTTAATGTAAAAATACAATTGATGTTTTTCAATCAAAGCTTATAATACTGTTCGACCATAATTTTTCAACAACATCTGTTTATATTTAGGTTTGCTTACATTTATTTAAAAAATTTGCTATTACTATTTTGCAAATTTGAAAATTCAATAGTTACATAAAAAAGTAAGTTCGAACAGCAATAATAACAAAAAGATAGGTCCCCAACTCAAAGAGAAATTATCAGAAATGCCAAAAAGAAAATTTCATGTAAGTAACAATTCATGGAATAATTGATATTTTCATTTTCAGAGTGAGATTTCTGTTGATATGATTATTTCCAAACGAACAGAACTGAAACTAAACATTGAAAAAATCAATGAGGAATTTAGAAGATTGAAAGAGGTTTTTTTAACAACTTTAAAATTTTGTACTTGTATTGAAACGGGTAATTTAGTTCAAGTACGATGTTACGAGCGATAATTATTAAATTAAATTTTTATTTTTCATGTTGGTTTGATAATAGTTTGTTTGCAAATTCTAAATATAATTCTGGCTCTGCGCAGCAAATATTCCAGACAAATTTATTAAAAAAAAGAAAGCTCACTATGATACTCGATATTGTGTAGCTATTCTTGCTATTCAAGCTATTTTGTCTTCATAAACTGGTTGTTGTCTATATAATACCAATAACAAATACGTTAAACATAAACTGAAATGGCATGCAACATATATATTTTTTATTAAATTAAACTTTTTGTATGATTTCAGGCTTTCGGGACAGAAAAGAAACTGCGCGATCAAGTTTACAATAATTTGATGACGTACATCAATGATATTTTAGACTTTGTTGCTGCTGAAGATGGGAATGACATTATAACTAATGATTACCTCATGAAAATAAAACAACATTGCAATGCAACGAGAGAATGGTTGAAGAAAAATTATGTACGTAAATTTGCTACAATTTGTCGTACGTATGTATGTTTTTGGCATTCACTAGTTTGATCTCGATAGATATTGTTAGAAAATTCTTGCTGTTCTGCATACATACTGTAAAAAAGAAATGGAAATGCTACAAAATATCTGTTCACTACAAAAGTTATAAAATGTTTGAACAATGTTATTTATTATGTTAACATTTTGTTACAGTATCATATCACCAAAAATGAAATTGCCGAAAAAGAAGCTCAACTTCAATTAACATTCAATGAGATTTGGACATCAATACAGGCAAGAAAACAGGTAAAATACTATGAACATGGCTATAACTAAACTTAATCCATTGCCAATGTAATGAAATTTATATCAAGTTTTGCTTTAACCAATCGGATAATCATTTCATGCTTTCCAAATAGACAAATAAAAACATAAAATTTATCTGAAATAAAAAAAATTCAATTCAAACGATTGGTACAATTGCTGAATTAGCACAGTTGTAAAGTTAAGTGGAGAGGTCGGCCTTTTCCTAATATTACAAATAATGCATGATATTATCATTTATAGACCAAACACGGAGAAGAAAAACGGCGGCGTCAGGCATGTGATAGATTAATGACCTATATAAATCAAGTGATAAATACCGAAAAAGAGAATGACTTTTTATCACAAAATTTTTTTGAAAAAATGGAGCAGAAGTGTTTTGAGACGATCACATGGCTTGAAACTTATTATGTAAATATCACCATTTTTATTATATGTGATATATATTATACATATTTATATATGTTCATATTTATATATGTTTTTTGGAACTAATATAATTAATAATATTCATTGCAAAACAATTTTCTTGTGATAAAGTTTCACATACAATCATCATTTTTTTTTTGAATTATCCAATAATTTGATTTTCAGAATGATCTCACTCCGGACGAAATATTTTCAGAAAAATCCAGATTGGAATTTGAGATAAATAATATGTTAATAGAATTGAAAGCCAGAAAAGAGGTATATTTTTAAAACATATTGTTAGAATAGATATAGATAATATAGTACAAATTAAAAGCAATGATGTAATAGTGAAGGGAGTATTCGTTTGCTCAATTTAAACAATAATGTAAACAAAATAATTCAGCTTTTAACTAAAATACATACTGAAAGTGTAATTAATGTGAAAAACTTTGACAGGCTATTAACAATTTTACGGAGCGCGTTTCTGACGTTGAATCTTTAGAGTTTTTCGATCCGTACAAACAAAAGTTAACGTTATCGGATAAGAGAAATATAGAAAAAATGAGCAATTATTGGAAACAGTGGATTTTTCAGTCTTCCGTATGTATAATTTAAGATTTTTGCGTTTGGATTAATTTTGACATAAATCAGTTTAACTGAAATAATAATGTTATGAATTGCAACAATAGAATTCGTAATAATTGTCATTTTTCCCACAGAAAAAATATTCATCGGATCATATTAAAGCATGTCTAGTTGAATTTGAAAGGTTTGTCCAAGATATTCTAAACAGATTACAAGAAGAGCAACAGGTGACAATGAAAATAATAACATAATTTCGAAATAAAATGCTTTGTTTAATTTTTTTTTGTTTTCTGTTGTATTTTATTTGGCGAAATCGTGTCTGCTTGTACAAAATCTTGCTATGAGTAAAAGCGTTACGGATTTAAAACGACAACTTGTTTTTAAATAATCCACCATTTTCAAACAAATTTCCATGTCCAATTTCTTTTTTTTTGGTTTTATTTGTCGCGGACGATTTCCGAAGCCAAATAAAGTCAATAAACTAAAATAAACATTGTTTTTATTTATTTATTTGTAAACAATTTAAAATATTTCTTAATATTTACAACTTTCAATGTGATTTTTAATCTCTAACCTAATTTTGATATAGTTTTATCTTACAGTTTAATATTAAAAAAAATTAGCGAGTTTTCTAAACTTTTGAACACGCTTGGTATATTTATTGTTCCTTCAGATTCACAATTTCAGATATACAAATCTCTGAATTTTTCATCACCATTGAAATTTGGAAATTCCGACTCCAAAGAGTTTGAAATCATAAAGCCTTCTCTTGTAATATTACATATTTTATCATGTCATTCTTGGATTTATATTCGAACTAATAGAAAAACGATAGAAGACAACAACAAAAAGTGTTGAAAGAAGTAGCCGGGAAACTCGGGACTTACATAGTCAATGTTAAACATTTTTTTGAGTCTGCGGAATATAAAGAAATGATTTCGGCCGAAGACAAAAACTGGATTGATGACGTATGTGATGAAGGGGAAAAAATAGTCTCATCATATACGGTATAAATAATTTTTAAATTTCGAAGTTTTGAAATTTTGAATCTTGCTAAATTGCAATATTTAAACGGAAGTGGAACCGGTAATTAAATATTTATAATTTATTTGTGTTTTAGAACTACAGCCTAAATGCAATAGTCCACTGGCACACAGGATTAGAAGAAGAAGTATGCAAAATATGCAAAGAATTGAATCGCAAAAAAAAGGTTTTTGGAAAGTTTTTTTTTCAATAGTATGGCATATTTTGATCATTAATTATCATATCAATTTCCTATTTCTAATTTCTACACTTTAAATATTTTTCTCTAATGCGACGATCAATCAATAAAGTTAAAAATAAAAATTGAACGTTTTTAAAGTGTACTCACCGTTGATTCTGAGACTTATTTTTGCGAAGTAGACTTTCTTTTGCGTAAGTGCACTTTTTTTTGTAAATTGAATTTGTTAGAAAACAATGTTAAAACAACGTATTACACAAAACCATGGATACATTAAACCGAACAAAGAAATAAAAAAGGTTCAAAAGTTCACTAACAACATGAGAGACGCTATCAGAAATAAACGAGCAGTGACCAAAATGGAAAAAAATAACTTATTGGATGAGTGCCAAAGTATTGATGATTGGTGTATAAAAAACCCGGTAAGTGTTTTGTATAATATTAGCGTATTTTGGATAGATAAAAAAGGCGCTCAAGAAGTATTTGTACCAATATGGAGGTAACTGATTTGGTTCGCCACTCACTTCGCCTACTTCACATTCAATTGTGTGAATGGACGGAAGCCATTGGACAGGGGATATATTTACTTGGCTCACACGGACGGTATTCAAAATTCTAATATAAATAAAATCTGAATAAAATTATGGCCTGACCGTAACATGGTACACACACTACGGAAGTACCATGACGAATGCCTAGTAGATAGAACATGTAATGTCATTTGTACTATCATGGATGAAAAACGCAAGCATTGCGTGATGATGTCAAAGACAAGACTGTTTCAATATAAGAAATTCCATTTGTCAAATATAAGATTAAAGGCTAATAAAGATTGAAGAAAATGATAAAGTAATATTTTGTTGAAATATATTCAGTCGTAAATCAACACACATTATTCCCCCCGTTTAAACATTGCAGAATGCCTCAAAACATGAAGCAGATCGCAGAATAAATATATTAAAAGAAAAGTGGAATCATGTTAGTTTGTCAATACAAATAGGGAGAGAGGTAATGAATATAAAACGAATTCATAAAAATGTTCACGAATATTTAATTTAATTTCAATTTTATACTACAAAGTTTATATTTTATTTTTGGTTTCATTGGAATAAACGAGCACAATAATTTTTTTCCATTTTTTTCAGACTGGAGATCAAGTACTATCTCCGAATTCTAATTATAGATCTCCTAGATCTCAAAAAAATCGTTCTTCAGCATCATCTCATTATGAACGTCAGAATCAATATTCGCCTGCAAAATACAAGGTTAAACTGTAGATGTTATTTAATATATATATTAAATTTTAAGTATTTGATTATAATATCAAAAGCTTTATACAATGGATATTTATTATAATAGAGAAATAATAATAATTCTAATATACCCTTAGTACAATCAATACAATTGATCTTTTATACCCAAAAATATACTTCATATTGTCACAAGTATTTTTCTGATAGTTTATTATTTCCAGTATAATGATCACCATGAAAAGTCAACACAAAGACATTCATACCAAACACATTCAGGTGTTAAGCATCACTCGACTCCACCGAATAAAGCAACTAGTTTCGAACATGACGTTCAAGCAAAAGTAATTTGCAATTTTCATATAATACTAGGATACAACCGTTAATAATCAGTAATATCACAATAATTATTTTTTCATAATTGTACTGTTCTAATGAATGGATACGCATATGAATGAAGACAAGGTATAATTGTCTATTACTGATACCGCTTTTTATTCAACAAAAATGATGTATATAATATGTATCTAAGATTATGGTGATACATTGAAATTCATAATGTTGTTTTGCCTAATTATGTATATATTATATGCCCTCACACACATATATTCTACATTATATTTATTTTCAAATAGAGCACTCGGGGAAGTCCATCAAGAAAATCAAACTCCACAAAGATTGCAAAAGAACCTTCATACGAACAGAGTCGATATTCGAGTGAAAAAGTCAGTACACAAATAATTTCAGAATTAGTCTATATGTTGTATTAGTAGATTATGTATATATTATGCATTTACACAGTATTCACATAATATATATTTTTATATAGAAAAGAAACAAAAGTCGTTCAAAATCAAACTCCAGAGAAAGAAAACCAGCGAAAGAAAATTCATACGAGCAAAGTCGACTTTCGAGTGAAAAAGTTAGTTACTAAAGCTTTTCAGAATTAGTTAGAAAACATCAAAATATAATCCTAGAAACTCATGAAAAATAATTATGAAGAGATAGCGATCGGAGACCGCCGACTTATCGATCTAGCGGCGTGTATCCATCGCCCTAACTCAATAGCAACTCCGCGTGTCCCATCTCTAATTAATTTTTAACTCTAATTATAATAAATAATTTATCATAAATCGATAGGCTTCTAGTCCGAGATATGATGAATGTACATGTAAAATTTGGAGCATATTCCACCTCGCTTTCGTGAGATATCTCGTAACATACGAAAGTGTCTAACAGACAAACAAACAAGCAAATACCTATCAACATACTTACCGATCGAGATCGTTTAGTAATAAACCTAATTTTAAATACTTTGATAATTCTGAGATACTTTTTTGTGAAATATTTATGTAACTTAGAAGCATTTAATCTACATTTTTGTTCCAATTTTGGTTCCTCGATTCCAACCACTGCGCAAACTTCGAAACTAAATATTACAAAATTGGATGGACGTATAAGGCGGTATCATGACGTTGGAACTGATTCAAAGATTTTTTCCGTTTATTTAATTAACTAGATTTTTATTCAATCGTACAGTCTAGAAACAACAAAGCGGAATTGCTTGCTTTAGCAAAACTTGCTAGAAAACAAATCCACGAACCCATGTATAAAGACAAAGTATCGAAGCGAGACAAGAATAGAATCAAGATTAAGCATGAAAAAGTTATAAATTGGTCATGGGTAAGATTTTAGTTTGTGTATCCTCCGCTCATTTTATTAAATGATTATAAATTTCATATCCATATTGACGTTTCCAACAGGATAAATCATTCTAAATGTTCTATTTTCGCCAAAGATTTTCTTCTCATTACACGTCTCCAACAATATCCACCCAAAAACAAAAAATAACATTCATGCATTTTTATTGACGTACCGCTTACAATACTTCTTAGTTCTTACCTACACAGTTTTATTTACAATGATTATCGTTTGCATTGACTAATTAGCATATAATAAACTTTTGGATAATCTTCTATGTAAAATTCATCAGATGCTATCTATAAACTGTAATTCAAAGCTAAAATGAAATATTTATTTTCCTTTCCTCTATTGCTCCAAGTATTATAAACTATTTATTTTGCACTGTTAACTAAATTTGTCATTTTGATAGAACTTAATAAATTGATACATATTTTTTACCTTAGATAAAAATGCGTCTTGAATATCAAGCTAATTCAATTCAATTTTTATTTATTTTTTCCTTAGTAACAATTGATCTTTTACATTTATGTCAGACAAACCGAACCGCGGAAGAAGAACTACAAGGTTTAAAAGCTTTATGTAAAGAGATTTTTGAATCCATCGATTACAATGCTGACCCTAAAAGTAAAGACAGTGAAAGGAGATGGTACTATTGAACCTTTTTGAATCTGATATGAACTTAATTACTGCAGTAACAATGAATTCGTCTAGTATTCATGGCGTTGAAATCATACAATATATATTTTACCAGCGTAAAAGGTACCAATACAAACGTTAGAATATCAGAGAATGAGCATATATTTGTTTAGCATTTGGTTAAAATCGTCTTATGGTGTTTGTTCGATGATTTGGCTGCGGCTAGATTAATCAAAAATCTTCGATTGTGTATATTTGAAATTTAGGCTTAAAATTCTAAAAAATTGTAAGTGAATCTTTCTAATTTTTACTGTATTATTCATTCTACGTTGTTTCATGTGTTTATGTTTTATATTTTAAAATAATTGTTTTCAAGATTTTATCAAGATTATCATTCAAGTTCTATATTATATCTTTTTAATTATATTATTATTATTAGTGGAACTGTGTTTAAAAAAAAAAATTCGAACGTTTATCACTGATTAATAAATGTTTGATAAATTCCTTCCAAATTGATATGTTATGTCTGCACTTTGTTCTTTGTTTAGTCTAACAGAAAATAGATGGAAGCGACATAGCTTCACAAACCTTTAATTTTTTGTGAATTATGAGATAGTAAAATGAAAACTTGAAATAAAATGATGAGATGAGGATGAGTGAGATGTTTCTGGTTATGAATAAAAAATAGAGAATTAAGCTTGTTGTGTAAATATACCTTCTATAGCCAGATAGCCATAAAAAAAGTGTGAAGTATAATATTTTTCTGAAGTTGCTAGATTTACTTGACACACTAGGCACTGTCCTTGAGCCGGGACGCTTACTGAAAACAACGATAAACTGAATTTATTATGTCCGGCGCCACTGTCGTGGTTACGACATTTTTCTTTGAAAATTCTGAACAAAAAGCTAGAAGTTTGTACAGTCGATCGTGGTGGTACTCACGCTACTGCCCTTATTGAACGTCAAACAGTCAGATGTTGCTAAAGTCGATTGGGCTACTGCCAGTGGCGTAGCAGACACCCCCGCAACCCCCGTGGTCGCGGGGGGGGGGAGTTGGGCAGAGTGCAAAGGGGCCCCAAGCGGTTAGAATTTAGAAATTTAAGCCGCAAAACCAAAAGCTGTATTGTAAAACCAGTAATGCACATCTAATTATAATGTTGATTTGAGTTCTGCTCAAATCGTATTGTTACGTAATATTGCTGGAGTCGTCGATTTTCGGCGTCATGTGGTTTGATCTAGAGCTGTACCGATGTATCGGTATCGGGTATCGGCAATATCGGCCATTTTTCGGTATCGGCCAAGTATCGGTTAGATTAAGGCCGATTGTTTCGATATATTTATCTTTTTGATATGATCCAGAATGTTTTAAAAGATAAGTTGGAATACTAGTTTTGAATTTATTTTTTGTCTGGAGAGATCGTGAGGTATTAGCCATACATGTCCCCACCCCTGCGAGAGAATAGGATGCACGTGTTTTTAGCTATTTATCAGCCAAACTAGCCCAACTAATTTGGCTATTTTCGCTGTCAACTTTTTATATTGACATTTATAATATTACATAGTAATTATGAAGAAATATATCAACACAGCACATAACAAAAAGCAACTAGGCGCCCAGTTTTAAATCATACAGTGGAATAGACCTTATTCATTAAAAATGTGATCATGTGAAATCATGGGAATGTGATCACCAGAGCAGAAATTTGCATTTTTCGTAATTTTCTAGATATCTTGCATTGTATACGTGAGCAGTTTTGGGGATAGAAAATATATTACATCTATTTTGATATTTTTATCATGATAAACATGGTCACGATTTTTGATAATCGTTCATTGAAATTTCAATGACCGCGGTGTTTCCGATGACGTCATTCTCACTAGACCATGAGATTCTGCCAACGCCCCGTGCTCTGTGGAAACTGCTTGTGATAACAGAATACTGGAATACCGTAACCGGGACCACAACTGGCGTTCAACGAAAGACCTATTTTGGTTTTTATTGGATGTTGAATATTTCATGAATTCCATGCAACTATGTACATTTCTGGTACACCTTTCAAAATCCAATGGCCTAACTCAGTTCATATGTTGAGTCTTGTTGACACCATGTACCTATCTCAAAATTGGTGATGTTCAGGGCTGGATTTAGACCATGAGAGGCCCCTTCATATTTTTGAGCTCGGAATTTCTGTCTAAACAAAACCACATGTCATTGCTTAAAATTTAAAAATATGAGTGCATTAAATTTTTCATTCTCCCCATTCATGGGTGTGAATTTTTAATTAAAGGAATAAAAATTTACTTGAGGCAGTTTTGCTTTCAATTTCTTTGATCAAACAACCGCTACAGTCATACTTTAACATAGAAACTTCCAGCAGAATGCGCATAATAATAATTTCCCTTATTATGATGCTGTGGTTGAAACCAGTTGTGTACAGAATTTTCTACTCTGAAAAGCTTGATATATATATATACGTTTCGTAGGGTTTAAACTTGTCAAGTTTTCAAAAGAATTACAAACTTCGAAACCGAATTTCGAGGCTCTAGGTTTCAGCCTGCCTCGCCTATTGGTAAATCCAGCCCTGGTGATGGTCCCTACAGCAAATTTCTGGCCCTAATCACTCAGCAGACTGAAATAAATGGTTTTCAGCATTTATTAGCAAAGATAGATATTTTAATTAAACATATAGTTCAACTTAAACCTGTAGAATGATATTATAAATATACTCGTATGTCCCATTATTACTGCATTGTGAGAAAGCTTTCCACACTATCAAGTCTATAAGGTTTTAGCGTCTTCCAATGTCTCAGATAGAAACTTCATTCTTCATTTCGCATATTCTTTTCATTAATGCCATTAGCATTTGAAGCTTGAATGATTCCAATGTACCTTTTCCATTGTTGTTTAATGTAATAGCCTAAACGTGACTTCAAATTTTTTTCTCACTTCAATCATCACATGTTTGAATACCCGAGCTGACTTCTACTGATTTGTTATTAATTTATGGTTTTTTAAAAAAAATTAACTGTCGTACTTGCTAAGTGTCCACTAAGTGAAAATCCATAAAAAAAAAACAGTGGTTTAATAATGGACTACATGTTTGACCGAATCCAGAAACATTCCGTAACTTAGTCAACCCTTCCTCCAAGGAGTTTTTGTTAAATTGTACAAACATCTTAATTAATCGTTAATCTTGATAGCGAACATGGGGAGCAGGGGCTTTTCAACCTAGTTAGGAGACCGGTATTGTACCATTATAGGTTGGAGATATTCATCTTTTTTGTATACCGGTACCTTACGACTTATCCTGTTTGTTGTCAGGCTGGCCAACATTTTTGTTCGTAGGCCTATTTCAGTATTTACTAAATAATTTAGTTTAGCTACGGTATTGGTAGTTTAAATAACACGTCAGCATGCCTTCAGTAAATGATTGCTAGCGGTACAGGTATAGCCTAAATGCGTAAAACCAGTAAACAAACGTGATAGAAATGGTATGGGTTATAGATTGTCCATGTCAAACGCTGGGTACCGGTACCGTACCCAAAGTGACATTAGCGCCGCATTTGCAGCGCGTATCCCACAGAGCACGGCGAGTTGGCAGAATCTCATGGTCTAGTGAGAATGACGTCATCGGAAACACCGCGCTCATTAAAATTTTAATGAACGATTATCAAAAATCTTGACCATGTTTATCATGATAAAAATATCAAAAGTAATGTAAAAAATATTCTATCCCCAAAACTACACACGTATACGATGAAACATATCTAGAAAATCACCAAAAATGCAAATTTCTGCTCTGGTGATCACATTTCCCATGAGAGCTAATGTTAAAAAAAAAATTTTTACATCACTTTTATTTTTGCGCGTAGGATGGGTTTTAAATGACTAAGGTCTATTGGGGTTTCTATTAACGGCACATGGACTTTTGGCATGGGTATAAATTCAGACTGTTTGTCGTCAAGTACAAGTGTCATTTAATCCGTCGACATCGATAAACTAAATTCCGACACAATTATCCCTCTGCGCAGGTATTCATTTTAATTTTGTTTAACTACACAATATCTTTATAGAAATATTGACATGACCGCTTAGCCCTAGACTGTCTCAAAATATATGATGGCAATTGTATAATAATATAAAATAGTAAAATAAAAAAACATCCTCGACGGTTATAGGTAGGCCTTCTTTTGGTCGGTGCTGATTGATATTCTTTCATGTTAGCTTTGACTTATCGCGTCGACGATTTCGATTAGCCACGGAATAAAATATTTGTAAAATGCTTTTAATTTGAACGTAGGACGGCGGCGCTAGGATGTGTGAGTGATATTCGATATTCTTTTCAACACGAATAACAATATTCGAAGGTCGCGATATTAACATTAAATTCAAATTGGACATCCCGGCATATGAGTTTTCTAATTGAACACCGAGATTACTAGCGTTACTGTACAATGTATCTTAATCAGTTAAAGCATATGTATACCAAACATTAATTTCATATTATGTGATATATCTTTTTTTTTCGATCTGAAATAATGTGTACTATGAACAACGCTCAAAAACCATTGTTTTAACCCGCCTGCCTTACACAGCACAACTAATTAAGTAATAATCACATATTATCGGTATCGGAATATCGGCCTTATTGTAGTATTGGCGTATCGGTATCGGCGTTTTTAGCTAGTATCGGATCGGTATCGACGACAAAAGGGGTATCGTTACATCTCTAGTTTGATCGTACCGGCACAATTACGAAAGCTGTCATAATGATGTCGAAAGCAAAACCTCTCAGTGGCGCACAGAAACGAAGAAAAAGGGCAGAAGAGGAAGAACGTATGAAAAAAATCAAAGTAACCAAGATAAACGAAATATTTAAACCAAAATTGAAACAAGTAGACTTGGGAATACCGAACGTAATTGAGGAGGAATTAGGCCTAGCACCGGTAGTATCGGTAGAAAACGTCCAGATACGTGTTCAATCTCCAAAAGTGATGGCGGCGGCGCGGATGAATTTTCTTCTAAAACTTACACGACAATTATAACAGGTAAGCTACTGATTTTTGAAGCAAATTGAAGAAATTAATATGACAAAGATGTTGGATGAGTTTGCTAACGCGAAAGCACAAAAGCGCAAATTTTAGGTTACCATAACCTTTATATAGCGACATGTTATGCTTTTTGACGAAATAAAAAACGTTGTTTTAGCTTATGTCCGAGAGTTTTTAGGGTCATTTCCACGAAATATTTTTGCGGGGGGGCCCACGAGAGTCTTGCTACGCCACTGTCTACTGCCACATACCTGGTTTGCTTATTTGCGACCATGACTGTTTCACACGTCAGTGATATTAAGCAATGATATGTATCAAAGACGAAGACAAAATA